GGCTTTAATATTTTTAAAAGGTACGTATAAAGATACTTTTACGCTAGTAATTTTAAACAGAATAATTAATTTTGCAAAATTTTACAATCAACTGAAGTTTTTGGTCTTAGTCACAAGTTCTTTTGAAAAACGGGCCCCTGAAGACTTACCATTCTAAACAGAATGATCGTGATAGCTGTTGATGATTATGACGTCATAATAGATAATGTCACAGTATTGAAGCAAGCAAAAAATAAATTTGAAATGTTCTTAACAATATTATTACTGATTAAAGCATTGTCAGGTATTGTCCTGAGAAATTAATCATTAATATATACATGTACATAATGTACCTATAAATAAGCTAGTTGCATTAGTACACATTTCCGCAAAGCCTGAATACTTACCATTTTAATTTTACCGCACTGTAAAATCTTTACATCTTTGGCCCATCAGATTTCTTAGTAAGATGAATCCATTGTGACGTCATAATGAATGACGTAACAATACCAATTCGAAGCAGACGGGTTGCATAATTCCTCACAATCATGACACAATTTTACATGGACAGTATCTGCCAGAGTCAAATTATTTTCAAATATCAATCTTTTCTCCTGCAATAAAAATGTTAATGTTCAAATCCATTTCATTTTCCCCATAAATACATGTATATCAATAACCAAATGATAATAAAGCCTAAAAATACATTGTGTGTTTCCTTTACATTATGAATAGTATTTGCCCACATATAGAGCTGCGTTATGTTCTCAGCACAACTCTTTCCGCTTCAATCCCTCCATAGATAGTCATGTTGCTTCACCAACTCTATAGTCACTTCTCATTTCTTCATCATATGTTAACTTTGCTAGACCAGAGCAGAAGTTCAAAATACACGTGTAAACGCCGACATGTGTAAAATCTTAAATCCTGCAGAAATATATACCCCAAAATCCAGACTTAGAACAATATATGTTCCCCATATCAACCACACGTAGATATATATATATATGTGGGCGCTTCTCACGAGTAGGTTGGAGCAAGGATTTCTATTCAAAAGAAAGACTTTAATAACTTTTTAGGCTATAACCATACACGTGTACATGATAAATAGTGTTAAGAAATGGACTTGTTCCAAGCTTATTTTCTGTTTAATTCTATCGGAAATGTGTAACTAAAGTAAGATTCAGCATCTGAACCATGCATGTCTGGTAATGTACAATCCTAGATTCATCATATGTGCAAGTTCGGTCACTATAGGGTTTATAGTTACATAAGAATGAAAGTTTGAGACCCGTTCCGAAATCTTTAACCTGATTACTCATCCAGAAAATGTAGGTCAGATCCAGCATCTGAAGAAAGTCTGTAGTGTGCGTTCCTAGATGCATCATCCATGCAAGTTTCGTCAACAAGTGCTTACAGCTGCTCTGCTCCAAAAACTTTAACCTGCTTTAAAAACATTAACCTGGGCATTCTTTGGAAAATGTAGCATCTGAACCTGACTGGTGACAAGGAAACACAAAAGATCAGGCTACTATGATAAATATATATATAGGGCATAGATGTACTTGGAAAGAAATCCGCTCCAAAAACTTTTACCACGAACCTGATGGCGACGGTACCACATAAGCTCTCCCGATCTCATTGAGGTTAATTAGCTAAAATGTTCTGTTAACGTTATACACTGGCTTGAAGGAAATATCCTTCCAATATATAAAAACAAGGGAGAGAAAAACAATCCGCAAAATTATAGACCTATAACAATTTTAAGCTGTATTGGAAAACTTTTTACATCCATATTAAATGATAGATTAAACGATTTTTCAAACGAATATGAAATATTGCAGGAAAATCAAACTGGTTTTAGAAAACAATATTCAACTGTTGATCATATATTTTCCATACATATTATATCAGAATTATTGAAACTAAATAAGAAAAAACTTTTTTGTGCTTTCATAGACTTCGAGAAAGCATTTGATAATGTATGGCGAAATGCTCTTTGGTTTAAATTGTGTGCAAACAATATTAATGGAAATATGTACAATGTTATTACGAATATGTATAATCAAATCAAATCAAGGATAGTCTATGATAATAACGTTACTGATTTTTTTAATTGTGAAAATGGTGTCAGACAAGGTGAAAACTTGTCATCTTTTTTATTTTCAATTTATCTAAATGACCTGCAGAATTTTTTCCAACAAAATATGTCAATTGGTTTACCTACTATATCTGTTATGTTTGAACAACATTTAAATGTGTATTTGACATTATTTGCACTATTATATGCCGATGACACCGTATTGATAGCTGAATCTGCCGAGCACTTACAAGCAAAAATTAATTGTTTTGAAAAATATTGCAGAAAATGGAATTTGAAGATTAATATTAACAAAACAAAAGTTTTGATAATAAGTAAAGGAAAGAAAAAAGAAAAGCCTGAGTTTAAATACGGCGAACAGCTGATTGAAGTTGTAAATGAAATTAATTATTTGGGTATTTTATTTAGTACGTCAGGTTCTTTCAAGGAAGCAAAGCAGAAACAAGTTGACAAAGCAAATAAAGCAATATTTGAAATTCTTAAGAAAGGCCGCTTACATAATCTATCAATACGATGTCAGTTAGACCTGCATGTTCGATAAAATTGTTCAGCCTATATTGTTGTACGGATGTGAAGTATGGGGATTTTCGAACAATGCAATTGTAGACAGAGTACATCTAAAATTTTGTAAATTACTTCTTAACCTTAAACAATCTACTCCGGACTGTATGGTGTATGGTGAACTCGGTCGACATCCCATGCCCATTGAAATACAAACGCGTATTATTTCCTATTGGTGTAAACTTAAACTTGGAAAAGAAACAAAAATATCAAGTCTGCTGTTTAAATTAAGTGATACCGTAAATCAAAAGACTAAGAAGATTGCTTGGATAAATAATGTCTTAAATATCTTAAACGATTGTGGACTTTCAAATATATGGAACAGTCAAGCCTTCAATCCAAATTGGTTAAGAGCGAAAGTAAAACTAACTTTAATAGATCAATTTAAACAAAAATGGAATTCGGATGTTCAAAATTTATCAAAGACCCTAAATTATAGAATATACAAAGACGAACTAAAATTTGAAAAATATTTAGAAATTCTATCACGAAAAGAAGCCATAAATTTCTGCAAATTCCGTACTTGTAATCATTATTTGCCAATTGAAACTGGACGTTGGTTAAATGAACCAAGAGAGATTAGACTATGTAAGAAATGTCAATTAAATGAAATAGGAGATGAATTCCATTACATATTAAATTGCACGGCAATGACACGTGAAAGAAATAAATGTTTAACACAAAAACAATTACGATTCAAAAATACAATTACATTTAGAGAAATAATGAATTCAGATAAACAGCCATTTTTAAGAAAACTGTGTATATCTATAAAAAAAATTACTAAAACGTGCTCCCCAAACTAGTAAAGACCTAAACCTATAATTGTACTATTTGTCTATCCTCATACTCACGCATGCCATATGTGTTTTTATTTTTCATCATTGTAGTTTACATTTATATCTCGCTATACAATTGTAAAATTGTGAAGAGATCAATAATTCAGTTCAGGCGGTGAATTAAGTATCGAAATGAAGATATAGGATACGTTGAAGTTTTCTTTTGTTAATATTTTTGAGAATCCTCTGTAATTAAAAAAAAGCTACTTTTGCCTAAGTATTTTTTCACAGTCAAATTAAGTAATCAGGTGCTTCTAATTTTGGATATGCAAATTTTATGCATTTTTTTTTTAAATTTTGGGATATGAAGTGTACACGCAACGCGACATAATCCTCTAATGAGGGAAATAAAGTATGAATGAATGAATGAATGAATGCAATTCATATTCTAAACAAATTAGATTAAATAAATGTAATAAAAATAATTAAAAAAAAAATAAATATTAATAACAAAAGCTAACGTATTTATCTTGAATTCTAAACTAACTTTGAAAACATATTGAAATTTATTTTTATGAAAATAAGTGGGCCTCTGATCAAGCGGCCTTATCGAAATATGCTCCTTAAAATTAAATTCGGTACTTTTTTAAATCTAAAGCTATTTTGATTTTCTGTTGAAAAATATATATATTTCCATATTTCTTGACTAACAAGAATACGTAAGAGTTTTCTCCGTATAAAAGGTGAGATGCTTCTAAAGGTGGTATAAACTTTCAACTCAAAAGTATGCCATAAAAATATTAAATTTTTGATTTTCAACTGTTCAATACTTTCCAAAAGAACTCAAAATAACTTCTTTTTTATTTATAACTCTTGATTGTTGTCCTTCATTTTTTTTTCTTTTATGTTTTAAAAACTGTATTGACTTAAATTATATTCACAGAGCAGATTTTTCTTTTTACACATTTCTTTACTTATGTTATCAATCGAAATCTGCAGAAAATGAACGTCTCTTTTCTTTTGTTCAAACATTTATTAAACATTCTGGTAGATTTCCTTGTTAGCATTAATTAATGTATCAGTATACGCATTTGTACAAAATTAAGTGTATCTATATATTAGCAAAATGCATCGATTTGTAAACTTTTGCAAATATCGTATATTTTAAAACTTCATGTTTAACTGTGACGATTTTTATGTGTAATTTACATGTAGGGAGAGGGCGTAATAAGTTTTCAGAACTTGTGCCCAATCCCATTGTATTTATAAATTACAATAAAATATGTTCAAACCAATAGAAATCTAAGCTTGGAGAAGTTGTCATAACAATATCAGATATCACTCAAAATGATTGCTATGTATTTGTACATTTAAAATATACATTTTTCAACATGGTGTAAATGGTCAACTATCTTTTTCCGGAAATAAATCTAGTTTCGCCTTAGCTTTTAGTAAATTTTTGGAATATGTCAGTCAAACGTTTTATATAAGTGATGTTCGCCCGCTTTTAAAATGAAACTAATTTACATTGATCAATTGCCAACAAGTTCGACTGACAGACTGGGAAAGAGAGAAACTAGCTGGAAAATGGCACTTGGGCTTTATTCACTAATTGAAGCCGTAATATTGTGTTTGAACGCTGTTTGTGTATTGCACGAAGAACGGTTTTTGGCAAAAAGTAATGTATCAAATATCAAATCGCACAATATTATAGATGTTCTATTTATCAGTTTATATCATACGATTTTCATTTTTAACAAAACTTAGAGATAACGTCTGTGAAAGTATGAGTGATTTCAACCCATATCCATGACACCTAAATTAATGACGTCGCACTGTTGACGTTGACATATTGAAAGAAAGTTATTTGTAGATCATGTACGTTTGGTCACACACACCCTGTTTCTATATATGCTAGACAATTTTCATTAAAACCAAAAGTTGGTTAAGGATTAAGGAAATCATGATGATAAAAAAATTAACTGTTTGAATTTTAAATACTAGGAGGTCTATAACTATAGATTACTATAATATTTTTCTTTTTTTACCTACTTACTTACTTAATCCTCTGTGTGATGGTTTGCACATAAGGCCATTAGCAGAGCCTCCCATTGCTGCCCATCCTGGGACTAATGTTTGACGTGTTCCCATGTCCATCCTCTCTCTTACAGTTCTTTTTCAGTAGACTGAAAGTTTTTTTGATAAGTTTGCTTTAATACATTTTTTTTTCAGTTGGATGGGGATCAGATCAAAGAGGATTTGGTGAAGAGCCAGGAATGAAAACTCAGTTATTAAATCTAATTCGATCAATAAGAACAGTCATGAGATGTAAGTAACAACATATGTAGCAACAATGTACATGTAGATGACAGTTTGAAGAAATTGGGCATTTTTATTTAATGTACATTTAGGCTGTCATATAATGGAAAAATAGAAGAAATTGATTAAACATAATTAAAACTACTAAAGAATTTAAAATCCCCATCTACCCACATGCTTAGGAAGAGTTAATCTTCATTAGTGCTGACAAAATTTTCTGGAATTTTTAGCAATTTAAATATTTGAAAGATTCAAATTGGAATAATGACCAGGATGAAGAACCAAAATTTTTTACAGTGAGGTCTGTACTGTTTGTAAATTTAATTTTTTTTTTAAATTTCATCAAGCTTCATACATGTATGTGATCAAGATTTAAAATTGAATGAATTCTTACTGGTCTGTTGTAAGAGTATTTATGTGTAAATAGAAAATTTGCTCAATTATGAAAAAAAAAACCTGAATAATAATAATTTTAAGTATTTTGATGGAAAAATTCAAAGATATTCTTATACAACTTGTCTCAGTTGAAGTTCATTATATTCACCAATATTTGAAAAGGAATGCTGATTGGTTTCAACAGTCTTTGATATTGATTGGTACCCTCAATTTTTTAAGAAGAATATAAACCACTGAATAAAATCTGATGATACTTTCACAGAATCTTTATTAAATAGTGCCATTGTGTACCTCTTACTTTATTTTTTGATCAAACGGATATTTGGGCTTTACCATAGCCAAAAATTGACTTTGCCATTATAATCTTATGGGAGCAGGGGGTATCAGTGAGCTCACTGCTCACAGAACTTCCATGTACCATATTATGTCAGAGTATCTACAAATTACAAGCACAAGTAATTTTTGTTATTTTGTTTTGCAGTCCCACTTATAGGAATAAACATTGTAGTGATAGCCTTAAAACTGGTCTTTGGATAATAACTCACCATGAACATGACACAACTGTTAAAAAAGTACTCATCTATCAGGTGGCTGAAAGAAACATTGTACAATAGGTGTGTTTGTTTGGCGAGATGCTGCAGTTCAAAGACAAGATTGAGAGATTTCTACATACAGTGAGCCTGTGATATTTAATGTGCCTGTGTGAATGTGATGCATTAAAATTGGTTCATTTCATGCATGTATGGGCCATGTCTTATTCATAATACATGTAATTTATACAATAAACTGCCAAATTAATTTGAACATTTGTGCTGTATAAATTAAGATCAGGTTTTTATTTATATTTTATATGAAGTATGCTGCGTGGATGTTAAAGGTGAAACTAGAAAGCAACCCTCATTTTTGAATTTGGTAGATAAATTATCCAGTAAAATAAATATGAAGATAAGTACATGTAATAATAATGTTTATTATCTTTTCATTATATGGAGTTCCAAAAAATGTTTTGGCAATTTAAGAGGTGTACAAATATGAACGCACTTGTAGAGCTTTAACAATGATGATATGATAGTTCAAATTGTTTTTTGAAACTCGTAACACATGAGAGTACAGTTCATTTTATTATAATTCTGTTAAAATGTATCTTTTATATGAAGTTAAGGGTGTAAAATTTGCCAGCCACCCTTCAGAAAAATTCAAATTTTGATGCTAATTTTGATTGACTACCAGTCATCTGTAAACATGAAATTTTCTCAGAGACTACAGATGTGCAGCTTTTATCAACTGCAATAATTTTTTTCTCTTGGTTCTCTTATAATGAAGCAACAACTTTTCAATATAATAAAAAGAAAATATAGTTATTCATCCTTTCTTGAATAATCTGTAGTAACTGTTTTAATTTCATCCAATCTGAGAAAAAAAGAATACAATTCATAACCAAAATTTAAAAAAAAAGAGAGAATATGTGCTGAAAATCCTTCTTCTTGTTAATATATTTTTTTTAAATATCATTGCTTGAATTCAACCAAAGACCTTCACATAGGAATGCATATTTTAGAAATAAATGTAATGGATATCATTGAAGTAATTGACAGATAAGAATAGTAAATAAGTATAAATGAGGTCATTGAATATTTCCTTTTCAATAATCAAATACATGTAGTAGAAATAAAATTAAAAAAATAAATGTTGCTTTAATTTAAAATTAGAAAATATTCTAAAATATAGAGAGAAAGAGGTCAGGACTGTAGTAAGAATCAAATTTCACATTGAATAGGTATAGAGAAAGTCTTCAGAACAACACAAATAATTATGTAGGTGTTAAGAAATAAGTATTCAGAAAAATTAATTAACAAATACTATACAGGTATATTACAAACGCCTCGGGTTTTCAGGATTTACAAATGATTTTTGTGTATGTGTGTTAACTGTCACCCTCATAAAAATTACAAGACACGAACAAAATATTTTAACAATTTCTTCTATAGTAACACTCTATATCTTAGATTTTCTTTTTGCAAAATCACACTGCATTCTCTGCAAATTTGAACCCTAGCCGTAATATATGTGAATTTATCTATTCCTTTTTGAAATTAAATAATATTTTGTCAAAGAATTCATGCAATATATCGTCAAACGGGATCACTTCAGTCTTGGACTATTAACTCAGCTCAAAAATCTTCAATACATTTCTGTTATCATCACCAACGTCGGTCAAAAAGAATTTATTATGGTTGAAACCAATCGCTGCCGGATGCTGAATGCCTCCGGAAGTCGTCAGGATAACACGTGATTGGGAACAGTCAGGGGTGAACTGTACGACATTGGAAGATGTTTGTCCGCAAATATATACATTTCCTTCAAAGTCAATGTCAACACCACGTGCCCACCGGATATCTTTGTGATGTATTTCAGATTTCACATCAAAATCTTCTCTTAGGATTAAACCACGCTTGTCTCGTGCGGCTGTCGTTTTCTGCGTCACGTAGATTTCGTTTGTGTACTTGTTGACGGTGATATGAAACGGTCGGTGCTCGAACATTGCTCTTCCGGCGCTGTCTTTCTTTATGGTGTCGTTTACCGTTCCGTCCAACTCGACAACGCTCAAACAAGGAAGTGGTTTCTCCATTGGCAGAAGAACAAGCAATTCGTCGTTGAATTTTTCAATTCCGTAACAGACTTTGCCAAGAACGATAGAGTTGATCTCATTCATCTGGTCGTCTGTAATGGCTATAATGCTGATTTCGCGAACGTTCGGTTGGGTTACTGCAACTGTAGCATTATCAACTTTGCATATTCCAAAAGGCTCAGATTGCAGAAGAAGTTTTGTTACGAAGATGCCGGTATCTCGGAACATTTTAACGCAGCGGTTATGGAAATCACAAATAATCAGACGTCCGTCTGGCAAGTAGAGACCACTCGTGATGACGCAGTCGATATTATCTGATGGAAGTCTCACAAAGAAACGATGGATTTCCTTGGCCTTTCTTTCAAACATTTGTTTCATACTTGAAATAGATTTTGGGATTCCTCGTTTGGCTCTTACAACTTTTATTTCCCCAAATTCTTGTATAACTGTTGGTAACTCGCGTACTTGTCTGTCCATATTGAAAGAATAATCCACATCTTCGGTTTTCTCTGAGGTTTCTATGGCTTTTTGTTTGTAGTCCAAAGAGTTGGACTTGGCTTTCAAAATAGTTGACAGCAACTGCGAATCTCCACCGTAGGTTATGGTTGCTTCAACCATTTTCTTCGAGTTCTCAACAGCTGTTTGTAATATTTTGATTTCCCGAATTTGGTTGTCAATTTTGTCAACTTCTTCTCTGTGGGTCTCATTTAGTTTGTTTAGAAAGCTATTCTGAATATCATCAAGATGACTGTTGATCTGTCGTCTGCATTCTTTGATCTTGCTGACGATTTCTTGTTTCCTGTTAGTGATGTGGGTACTCTGTCGTAAATTTTCTTGCACGATATCATCTAGACTTCTCAGACATTCGCTGTACTGCTGAACAACTCTATCCAATTCTTCGGTAGATTTCAATTCTCTCGCATAATCCTCTGATGTCATCACTCGTAAACAACGCCGATGTTCAACTGCAACACACGTTGGGCAAGCAAGAACTTGATGGTCGATACAAAATAAATTCAGGTTTTCTTTGTGACGCGTGCATTGCATGTCTTGACCCTCCCATAGCGTGGTTGGCTCTCTTGTAACCTTAGTTATCGAGACAGGTCCATGGTCAGGAAACATAGCATTGTGAAATGACAAGCAGTTTCTACAGAGGCATACTTTACAATGCTTGCACCACATATCAGCTTTTACGCCTTTTTTGTGCTGTCTGTCACAGGGTTCACATGTTTTCTCAGCCTTTTCAAAACTTACCATGTCCATAACACTTAAGATGAAATTATTGGTAGGAAACTGCTCAGCCCACATGGAAGCATCGACAGTTGTATCGGTCGGAATGGCAGTAGTTCGACATGTCGGACAAGGAAAACCGCTCCATTTGACAGCCTTATCTTCCTGTATAAATTGTATGATGTATCGGGATAGACACGACATACAAAATGTGTGCAAGCAGGGCAAACTTTTCGGATTTCGGAATTTGTTCATACAAATTGAACACTTGGTCACGCTTTCATGTATTGACTCCCTTTTGTCGGTTGGGGACAAAGGGTTCTTTTTGGACACTTTAGAAGCAGGTTTTTCCATATTTTCATGAGAATCAGGGCTTTGTAGCTCGTTATTTGAGTCCGAATGCTCGAGATCCTCAGAACTGTCTGTTGCAGAGCGTATCCTGGGATCGTCTATGGGTTCTTCAACCTCGTCTTCTAAGTCTGTATCCCGATCTTTGTCATTGCTTTCAGATAACTTTGGCGATTGTTGGTCATTCAACGACTTCTCTTTTTGATTATAGTTCTGGGAATTAGTGACATTGCCCTCGGATATATTCACACTCCCTTTATATGTACGATACATCAGAAAACGACATATTCCCGGGTAGCCACTTTGAAAAACCAGTTGTTTACACTATTCCCACGTATATAGCCACTTTGTAACGTTTATTATATGCCAAAAAAAAATCTTACTCAATGGAGACTCTTGAAAGATTGCAAATAGTGAAAATGACACAGTTAAATTTACCAATACACAAAATTAAATTAAGTAAACAAAACCAATGCTATGGAATTTCTTTGGTGTGCATTTAACGGCAGAACGCTTCCATTGGAGAATTGGAGAGAGTTGACGGTCTTAAGTACTAAGTATTTAAAAACAAAGTGAACTGTCAATCTCTATGTATGATCAAAATTAACACAATTTTATTTGCAATTTGAAGGAATTGTGCCAGAAATTGTACTAGAAAGCAGGCTACATTTGTTTTACGTTCGTTGAATAGTGTTTCCTTTTATTCACAAAAATTATTTTGAATGCATTGCATGTTAATTTTTGGTAATCATTATCTATTGAAGGTGAAACTATCTTTTATTACGGATGCTAGACAGACATGGGCGTATAAGGAGAGCATGACTTTTTACTCATGATTTGTGGAGACTGGCTTCATTAGCCTAAAACGAAGGATTTCTAGCATCTATGTATCGTAATTTATGAATCTGTATGAATCTTTATCAATACTTTGGTATTAAATAATAATGGAGTATCATTCTTATTTAACAATGTTAACTCCGTCAATTATTGCCTTCTTTTATTTTTTTAAAATAAAGATATGTTTCATACTTTGTATATATACTGGTTGCCCGAGTCAGTTGCATTCGATGTATAACAGAACTTCATCAGCTTTTCACTGTAGGAAGCATTCATCGAAATTGACTTAATTTAAAGTCAAACATTAAACCTTAAAAATGAAAGAATTAATACCGGTATTTTTGACAATTTTCTCATTTAATCAATCGTCATTGTACTCAGAACGACACTTTTAACAAAAGGAAGTTGAGAAAGGGACGCAACTTAAAATTCTCGACTTTTCTCACCTGAGACTGACAGTCAGCGCTTCAATATTAGACCAATGGCAACCAGTTTTGAAAGGAATTTTTATTGATTGGGATTCAGTTTTCATTGCATGTTGCAATCGATGATCAGCGCTAGGTAACATCTTACCTGAGATATGCAGGGACATTTCGGAACAAGACCGTAACGGATTTTATCGATAACAATCGCTTGATTGGACTGGAGGTCCTGTAAACAACCTATACCAAATTGATTATCATAAGTCATGGGTCAACTTGTGATCAATATTAGGTGTTTATGTCAAAAGTGAGACGATATGGGAAGGGATGAAAGGTAAGAATCCTTTTTTTTTAGTTTTAGAAATTTTAATATTTATCGGGATGTGGTTAATTGATTATAACTTGATCTAATGTTTATATGACAAGGTAAGAAAAAATAAGGTATCATTATCGACGCCCATTCACGTGGATACTAACTAAACATCACCAACTTTATAGTCTTGTGACAATTGACAACGTGGTATTACTGTCCTACAACTAATTACTTTCTTTAGAAGTCTGTGTATTGTTGGAAAAATTCTGTTAAACATCAAGGTACCGATTTAGAGCCCGTTTGCTGATGGCTGATATGTACTTCATCAATTCAGACACTGACGGTCTATCTAGTCTTGTCAGTTATTCAGTGGCTATTTTGGGGCAAAATTAAGACCAACACGCCTTAGATAATTTTTTTTCTTGCATTTAAACAGGTATTTGTGTTATTCGTCCTTTGTTGGTTTGTATTACTGTAAGCCGACATAATCATGAAGACATTGACATCTGCTTTTTTATGTCTCTGTACCTGTCCTCGTGAATGCCACCTGTCAAAGACCACTACTGTCTGCCTCTTGTGTGTCACTCCACTTCATTGATTGCCGGTGCCCAGGAGCGAATTGTAACCGTCAGAGGAACAAATTTGCCGTTACACGGTTCACCGTTATTTATTTGAAAGATTTATCCACATAAAATATACCGAGTTGGATGTTATTTTTACGTGTCTTTGTAACAGCTGTATGAGATAATCATTATACCACTAAGGCGCTTTCAATTTCAGTTTCGAATGTCTCCATTTCTGCAGTATCTACATCGTATAAATAAATACATTTTACATATAACGTTACCTTTACTGGTTCACCGTTCATACCAGACCAACATGGGCAAATTCTCTCAGTTAATAGATTTTTATATTCATCAGAATTCTTTCTTGCATTTGTCCAAACATTAATTGCTTAAAAGACGCGCAGTTTCAAAGAATCGTAATTTTTTTTCAAATTCTGAAATGTACATTGCGCAGATTGGCAGCGGTCTTGTTTTGATGTTTCTTGTAGAAGTAGATCTTGTAAATGATCATCTGGAACAACGTTTAAAACATATTCCTCCTATAGGTAGATTTAACAGAGCTTTGTATTCAACACAGAGATGAAGCGTTCTCTTGAAACATGCAAAATTAGTAAAAACATCGAGCGATCGCTTCCAGGACAGACTCGGACATAAAAAAAGAACATTTTGCTGTATCAATTCTTCAAATAACACCAAACATTTAAAATGAAAACACACGATTTTTTGTGAAAAAAATGAAAAAAAAACAAAAAACAAACAAATGTAAGCTTACAGAATTTCAGGGAAATCATTGTTTCTTTTTTCTGAAAAGAAAATAGAAGATTAAACAAAATATGATTACAAAGGTGTAAATATGAGAATAACAGAGCACCTTGATTAATTACGTAACCTTGATATGTTCACGTGTGGTTAAATATTTATCTATACTGCGTACATATAAAAGGATACAGTGTACTTGCAAATCATGTTTTTCCATTTACTATAGTCAATGATTGTTGTAAGATTTTTTATTATCTGTATAGAATGTTATCCTAAAATCTTTTGATTGTTAAAAGGATTCTACACAATTATACCATTACGAATTTAAACCTTCCTCTTGAAAAGGAGATTTGTGAAGACAATTCCTATACTATCACATCAGTTAAAAGTTGGATTCCAATAATTGTAAACTTACATTTGTTTAAGTGCCCCTGATGTGAATCTATAGTGGCGTAATCGTAAGCTTTCGAATTCTTTGATTAATTTATCCTGTTACAGAAATATTTTAATTTGGGTATGATTTTTTTCCCTGTGAGAAGTCAGCAATGTGAAGTCAAAACTGACAAGCAACAGACAAATCTCAATGTAGGTCCCTCTGATATTTGATTTTTGAGAAACGAGATTTAGGCCTTCTTCTTTTTTTTCTTTTTTAAGAAGCAGCCTTTACGATGCACGTTTTATTTTTTGAAAACGCGTACGAGATAAATCCCGAACTTTAACCACTCTACCCGGATTCTGTCGTTATAAAGTTTTTTTGCCCCTCCTTATGATGCAATGAACTTGATGCAGTATCACCGCACGCTGTGTCAATATTGACTAGAGATAAAGGGTTACACAGTAGGCGGGATGAATGCCTGGTAGGTCTGTTTAATCTCTGCAAATTAACAAGCATTGACTTTTTTCTTTTAAATTTATTAGGTTCTAGTATATTCGAAGTGTGTAAGAAAATGACAATACGTGTGTCTTATTTAATAAACCAATCAAAGTGTAATACGTGGAATGTTATAGCGAACACTCTAATCAAACTGAGTTTACACGTTTACGTGCTTTTCCTTATTCGAACACACCTATGTAAGCATAAACAACGCTCCTTAAAAAACCGAAAACATTATAAGATTTGAAAATGCAATCAAAATTTGTATAAGTTAAAATATTACTAAACTTTTTATTTTAGATTTTTAAATTCAAATCAAAGATTAAGAATATAGTGTACTTTTATCAAAGGTGTTAAGATGCTTCCTGGAGACACTCGTAACTGCTTAACAATGCCATTACCTAAGGGTTTTTTTTCGTATAGCCAGTACACTAAGCATCCGTGGGATTTTGTCATTTTATCGTACTGTTTTATTGTGATTAATGTTTTCTAGATTTCCTTATTCATTCCCAAGTATAAACAGGATCCTTTCCCCCTTTCATTACTCAAAGTTTGCGTATCATAAATTCACGAAAATTAGTTTTCCTTGCGTAAACATGAATTTCGCTTAGTATACACCATTACTCTTCGAGTTTTTTCCCTCTAATTTTGTTTAATGAAGTGTTTATTGAATTATTCAATGTGGAAATGGTTCAGCACAGAAAATTCGATTTTTTTTTTTTTTAGTTTAAATCTTTTTAATTTTCTTACTGAACCATAAAAGCAAACAAGTAAACAGTATTTTCGTATCCGTTAATCTCAACACACCATTGCATGTAAATATTTCATTTATGTGTACATGGATTCCTACGTGAAAAACATTGTGACAAGGTCTAGGGAGTCAAGGGAGCTAGGCTGGGTGGTCAACAATTATAACAGATCCACTTTAATAGCTTTAGCCAAAAATTATTTACTAGCTAAGAAAACCCCCACATGTTTTAACTATAATATATAATTTTTATAAAGGCCTGTTCTTTTCCAGGAGATTTAAATAGTCTAAAAGTGGCCACAGCCACCTAGCCCTCCTAATTAGTGATATATACAATACAGTTCTATTGCATTTATATGAGAAATCAGATACATGTACGAACTAAACATGCACTTCTAACGGTTTTATCGAGTTTCAAAATAATGTAAAAAGGACAAGACAACGACCAATTTTTATTACAATGGAAGACAAATTCAACTGAATCAAGTAAAAGATTCAGTAAAATTAAAGATATCACACCAATTAAGATATACACATTCACATTGCATCGTATTCCTTAAAAGTGATACTGAAGATGAATTTGAACTTGAGATGTGTGTGTCTTAGGTAATCACATGGCAGCATTTATTATTTCCTACTTTCATCAAAAGCGAGGGACATTAATTTAGGTACGTCCGTCCGTCTATCTGTGTGTCTGTCATTCTTTTTTTAATATACTTAAGGACCCTCTTTACACTAAAGGAAAAGATTTTTTGGACATTGAGAAAATTATAGTGTGTAAAGGTGTAAATATTGAGTTTATTTATTACGTTTTCAACATAGGATACCTTGCATTTACCCCCTGGAAAAATGTTCAAAGACAATGAAGTACTGATGAAAAGAAATCACTGTTGTTAATTCAAATGGGCAAAAGACATGCAAATGAAGTGTTTAATCTATTCATCTACGTCTATTAAATGTTATGAATGCTTGAATTGATCACAAATGAAGTAATAAACTGTACATTTCAATTTATTTAATTTTTCTATTCGAGATCAAGGAGCAGATTACACTATCTGCAAAAAATACCACAAAATACGAACTCTTTCGTGTGCAGTGTATAGAGTGCTCTTAATAAGTTTCCGGCTATTTTCTTAAATAAGTTAAATTTCCTTTAAACTTTGCGATGAAATTTACTATCGTAACTCGTTATGACATAAAGAAGATTGATTTTGAGGTCAAAAGGTCAAAGAATTCATATATTGCATAAAATGGTTTCCAAAAAATACTTCAGTTTTCTTTGAGCTTTTGTAATGAAATCTAAGGTGACAAGTCTCTCTAACTTCAAAAACAACTTTTGATTATGAGGTCAGAGGTCAAACTTGTATATTGTTACAAACTGTTTCCGGAGTTACATTATAAAAAAAAATTGTCGTTTTATATGGAAGGGAATTACCGCCAAAAGTCTATTATCTTGCTTTTATTCTTATTCTGCCTACTTCTTTATTCTTTGTCATTATTGTAACTATATGTCACTTTATTGTTTTCATATTCATCTTTATTACATTTCATTTTGAACTTTTTTCATTCTTCATTTTGTCCTTACTTCTATGTTGCTTTATTCTTGTAAATTCGTTCTTCTTTCTTTCAAATTGATACAGTTTCTTTAATAAATAATTATGATTATCTCTATTACAAATGTAAATTCAGTCACGCAAACCATGAAGCACATTCAACGAAGACGAATACAAGAAGTATGAATTTAATGCGGCATTATAACGATAGGTGGCAGGGTGTTCGCGGAGAGTGTTGGTAAAATTAGGTACACAAACCCGGGCCGAGGTTAATCGAGATTTTCCAATTTTCTGCCTTAATACTTTATCAATCGAACCCAAATTTTCAAATGATGTATGTTATAGGTTCAGGAATGTACCCGGTGTTGTTCCTCCTGACGGCTGACTAGATGGTAAGACTTCCCCCGGAGGACTAGCTATATAGTGAGACATCTCCAGGGGAAGTCTCACTGTATAACCAGTCTTCCGTGGGGAAGTCTCACTATATAGTCAGTCTTCCCCCTTCATAGCGAAACTTTCCCCTTTAATTTAGTTTCCGAATATTTTTTTTTTTATTGTAAAACAATGTTTATATACTAACGTTTTCAGTGTTTGGATGAAAGTTCTCCGTCCTATATGAATGAATAAATAAATAAATATATGAATAAATAATTAAAACATTTTAATAGTTATAATTAAAACATTAATTTAACCATGCAGGTAAACATAAGTAAACTGCACGTTTCTACGGGGTAATGGCCTCTTTACTGTTAAATTAATTGTGTCTAAATTTTCTTTTGTTAAGAATCGTCTCGGAACAATACAATGATCTGTGCACTGTGAACAGTGCACGATAAATTTTTAATGCACACTTTAATATTGATTCATTTGAAACTATATATATCTTTTTTTTTATATACAAGATCATTACCTAAATATGCAATATATACATCGTCGATGTAAATAAAATCCAAACCAAACACGGAAGGGGAAGTCTCACTATGGTCGTTTAGGGCTGAAGGCTCACTATATAGTCATTGCCCCCCTCCCGGAGGGGAAGTCTCACTATATAGCCAGGCTTCCGGGGAAAGACTCACTATGGAGGAAGTCTCACTATATGACACCGGTAGCAAGGGGAGGGGGGGGGGGGGGCTGGCCACCAAACATTTTTCTAGTCATAACTTTTTACTACTGAAATTGTTCAATGAAAGTCTGGTTGCCCCCTCCCCCCCCCACCTTTTGTTGCAGTATAGTCAAATAAGGGTCATGTACGTAGTGATGTATGAGTAAAATTTGGTTCTGAAAGAAGTTGGACCCCCTTCCCTCCCAAATGAAATTTTCGAGTTACAAGAATTTTCCTCTTCTTTGGGTTTTTTCCTCATTGTCTGTTTGTTTGGTTTGTTTGTTTTTTTTTTTTTTTGCTTGTCAAGTTTTAGGTAAGACTTTTTTTCTCTGGCTGCCCCTTTCAAAAACAATGCTACGTCTCTAAGTTTTATCAGTTTCGCTGTAAAAATTGCCAATATTTATATTCATGTATTTCTATTTTGAAAATCTCAATATTCTAGATTATTTTTTGCGATTTTTGATTTCCAATTTGCTAAGATGGGTAGGCAATATCAAGCCGACATTTTACGTATTTTTTCCAAAAGAGACATTGACAAAATAATTTTTTGAGTTATTCTGATGTCAAACACTGTGTGCTTACTAGAGATATTTATTTCTTTATTGAAAAGTGCTATTTCTATACAAAAAATTGATACATATATTTTCATAAAAACCGGGGGAAGTTTCTATAGTCTGCCCTGGTCTAAGCCTGGTTCCGGCCACGCCTACCCATGATGTTCCGCACTACTTTGCAGAGCATTATGGGTTGGCCGAAATAAGATTAGCCCCGGTCCCAAGAATCACGCGACTGCGCATGAACAGTTATTATCCTGAAATAAAGAAATGCCAGTTCAGTGGAAGAATATATACTATAGGGGTCCTGAAAAACAACTCAAGTTATAAGGGTATACTAGTATTTATCAAAATATTTATTTTTTTTTTATATCAATAAAACTGAAATTCAATCATCCGACAAATAACTTGAATAGAGTTATATTTTTCAGATGACTGAAAATACACAATTATTTTGGAGTTTTCATCATTTATTCGGTTTTAATGACCCATATTTTCTTAAAACTTGTTATTAAAAGCAACAAAAGCACATTTGAAAGAAGAAATGCTTATAAATAATTAAAATATAATGTTTAACATCAGAATAATTTATAAATTTATTAGCTTTTTGTCAAAAAACACGAAAAATGTCAGTTTGATACTGCCTTCCCATTTTACCAACTTGGAAATCAAATATCTTCGAGAAAATCTAAAAAAAAAAAAAAAAAATTGAGCATTTCGGGGCAATTTTACCGCGTATACAAATAAACCTATAACTAACAGAACTTGAAAATTTGGGTTCGATTGATAAAGTATTAAGGCAGAAAATTGGAAAATCTCGATTAACCTCGGCCCGGGTTTGTGTACCAAATTTTACCAACACTCTCCGCGAACACCCTGCCACCTAGCGTTATAATGCCGCATTAAATTCACACTACTTGTATTCGTCTTCGTTGAATGTGCTTCATGGTTTGCGTGACTGAATTTACACTTGTAATAAAGATGATCATAATTATTTACTAAAGAAACTGTATCAATTTGAAAGAAAGAAGAACGAATTAACAAGAATAAAGCAACATAGAAATAAGGACAAATTAAAGAATAAAAAAAATTCAAAGTGAAATGTAATAAAGACGAATATGAAAACAATAAAGTGACATATAGTTACAATAATGACAAAGAATAAAGAAGTAGGCAGAATAAAAATAAAAGCAAGATAAATAGACTTTTGGCGGTAATTCCCTTCCATAGTTTTAAGCGGAAGACATAAATTCTTTCTTTAGTATCTTTGACATATTAACATAATGCAGACTTCTGGTTCTTTAGGCATATATGTATAATTTATTTTGTAGTTGTATTGTAAATTCCATCTTTTTAGAAGTCTTACACTGGTAGCCTTATCTGTTTCTTCAGAAGAAAAACTGAATTTTTTCCATACTTGTTATTTTCTTCAGAAAATGAGATATTTAGATATATCTAGCAAGGACGTCGACATTACACACAACATTAAAAAACTTCTAATCAGCCTGCTTTTCTTGTTAAACAATATTATTTTCGTATATTATGTTAACATTTTGGACTACCATCATCTGATGTTTTTGTTTACAGCACAAACTGTATGGAGGCCCACGCCTTTCTGAATGGCCTGTGCATGGAATGTTACGTCACTTTGCTGACCATTCTGGATATCCTCTGTATCACCACAGAACTTGTCATCAGACTAGGAATAATTAAAGGTATCTACTTTTTTTTTTTTTTTTTTTTTTTTTTTTTAAATTCTGATGATACTTGGTCGATGGTGTGAACATACAAACATTTGACACGAAATAAGAGCCGTGCGTTACCTTTCTCCATATATAATATTCATGAGTTGAAACCATATGCAAATTATGACAATAATGGACTGTTCGTATCCAACCGGGTGGCGTTATCTTTCATCGGATCACATTTTCAGAATGTTTTGTTGTTTATTAAAGCTTGGTCCAGTGGGAATAATTTGCACATGTTAGAGTTGACGACGTGGCTACAGAAGTCAATATCATCAAATGACGTTCAATCTTTGGGAACATTTTAAGGGTGAAGGCTTGTCAACAAATAAACAATATTGTAGGGATGCAAATGTATTCTGCTTTGGAATACTTAGAATTTCATCAGCAGGGTGTCGTTGTGGATTTTAAAGAATTTGGGGAAACTGAGAAAAAAAATTGAACTTGGTGAGGCAATCCCAGATATTCTAAAACCAATAGCAGATTTTTTTTTTATTTTCTTGTTTTACAAACCTTATTTACTTGACTTTTTAAAAGAAACTTAGAAAACAACTATTAGACGTAAATAGAATAATTAATACTCTTAATTATCATTCTTGATTTGCCAGTCGTCTTTAAAGTCATATATGGCGTATTTTTGATAAGTTCAGACTAACTAAAATTAAAAAGATCTTTCTATTTGTTTAATTACCTTATATAAAGCTAGGACTTTCCTGTAAATTACACAATTTAAATCAATCGCATTTCATAGATATTAGAAATTTAAAACAATTTAACCGATTTATTTACCGACTCCGCATTTAAATATCAGACACAGGTTAAAGTCAATTTACTATAGAAACGTGGGATTATTCAATTTCAAAATCGGTGAAAATTTTAATTTGAACGTTAATAACAAATATCATGGTCATCTACACTCAATCTGGCATTTTTATTTTTTAGCTTAGATACGCCATATATAGCTTTAAAACTCGATCCGTACGTGGCTTCAAGTAAAAACTAAATGATAACAGAAGCGTAGGGAATAATGACATAAAAGAGTGCACACAATACTGAATACATGTATTTAATCTAAATATCAAACATAATTGATCAGAAGATTTTGTGATTTTTATGTCAAAAAGAGACGGCTTACATAATAAAATAATTAAATTTTACGTAATCGTAAATGGTAAAGAAAATGTCACATTTCCTCCAGATCAGAAGACATAGTCATTGGGTAAATGAAAATGTTTCATTAAAAGAGTGATATTGGTCAGAAAAATGGTGATTAAATGTGTACTACTTTACATGTAAAGTTGTAGAAAGCAAGTAATAATTTTACGTTTGAATAAATTCTAGAAATGCATTTGAGATCACATACCACTAAATTTTCAGGTATATCTCAAATATGTGAGCAAGTAAATATTCCTCAGAAATTGCAGTATTTCATCTTCGTCTTTAGCAAAACGGTTCATATACATTATACATGTATTTAATGAAGAGTCTTGCGACGATTTTTGAGATGTTGACAACTAGCTAAGAAAGTGCAAAATTTCTTACTACGTGTAAAGTGTATAGTCTAACATTTGAGATTTATTTTGGTGTGCGTGTAATCGTGTATCGTTGAGCATTAGTGATTGGTTTGAGCACCTTATATAATAAGAATATCCTTAAGTCATATCTTTGCCAACTGAAACTTAGAACAAACTTATCAATGTCAACAGATCCGCACTCCGATCCTACAGAAAGCCCTTTGGCGTCCAGCCTAAATGTGACCAATGAAACCTACAATCCGGATCCAGGCGGAACCTGTCAACAATGCTCCATGGAAACCTCTCTGGATGTTGCGCACTGCGTTGCGCATTACTCCAGTGTTACTATTGCATGTGTATTCATGATTGAGGTGAGTAATTTTAAATGATGATCTGAAAAGTTGTAATTTTCGTATATTTAAAAGAGTGTCAATTACGAAAATTGCCTATTAGTAACTTAGACTTAGGCTATTCAAGTAAGAGTACTGTGTTCTATTCTTCTCCAAGTTACAATTCAGTTATGGACATTGTCATGGAGTAAGTTAAATGAAGCATTCCACTCATTCAATTGAGAGGAGTATTCCAGTTTGCAATGTTTTATTGGTACGTACTGGCAGTCGGGATTGATTAATCGAGTATTCGAGAAGGGATTGGTTTAACCTAATATTCCAGTCGGGATCGTTTCAGCCGAGTATTCAAGTCTGGATTAATTTAACCGAACATTCCATCTAGATGATTTTGAATCTTATTTAGTCTGGATTGCTTTAATCTTTAACACTGTATTTCAGTCTGGATTAATTTAACCTAATAATACATTCTAGATTGAATTAACCGAATTTTTCAGTATGTTGAATATTTTTTGTAGATTGTTTGAGTCTGTATGGATTTTAAGAAAATTGAATATCCATTGAAACCTTTTAAGTTGTCTCTTGTTCCATGAACAACTGATAATTAACGTGCTAGGATCTCAGAAATGCTAGTCTTTATGCTACATAATTCTAAATGACTAATCATTTGAGTCAGGGTATGATATCACAAGACTTTGAATCTGATCCATAATGTTTTACTCCTGCAAATGGATTTGACCCAGTTCCACCGACATCATACATATCTTCTTTTAATTGGCGATTTTTTTTTTTAAATTGCTTTTATCAACTCACCGAGGTTGCAAAATGAACATTGCACTGTCTCATCATTTTCCAGATTCTATAGTGCATGATGTAAGATCATTTAATTACTCAATTATTTTAAACTACTCAAACATTTCGTAGTTACTGTGATACAATTTTGAGGAATTTAACTCAATGATAATAAAAAAAAATCAAATTTAAAAAGAGTTTGCTATTTAAATATTCGAAGACAAAAAGATAGGTATGATAATTTATCTTTTAAAATGAAATGTATAAAATTCTAGGGCGAAAGGAGGGGGAGGGGTGTGAATACTGTAGTGTAGAGAACTAAATAATGTTTTTTTCTTTCACATAAAGGTAGTGGCACGAGTTGTTGCCGGGTGTCCAGGCTGTTGGAAAGATTTTCTTAACGTAAGTTCCTTTTTTTCATCTAGCTGTCCAGATGAAAGGAAAAAATGCTTAATTAATGCGAAATACAGCAATTCAAAGTACCCAAACTTTGGAACTATATATGTTCTGAGTTTAATTTTTTCTCCCTAGTAATCTAGATAGGAAATTGTGCTCAGATAAACCAAACTATTCAATATTTCCGGTTTTTTGGAGCTGTGTGTTTGGGTGGCATTTGATACAAGATACATTGGACATAAACACAACAATATAAATACATACAAAAGTGAGGAAAGTCTTGTTTTAAGGCACCACGTACGGCCATTTACAAGGTATCGGTGGTCAAACTGGGCGAGGCCCGTCCGTCAGACAGAGTTTATTACAGATAATAAACATAGTAAAGGGCAATAAAACGATAATGCCCAAAAAACAATACATAACTTACGTTGAGACATTTATTGTTATCGGATTTCAGTGTTCAGGCAATCAATAATAGAGATTTATTTTAAAGGCTATCAAATTTTATTAATGAGTTTGATTACAAAAATGTATACTAGTATGTATTTGAATGTTTAGAAGCATGTTGAAGGGCTTCATCATCTTTATATATTCATTCATATCACTCTAGTTATCATCAAATGACGTTTCTTCTTCACTTGTATCTAGTTTCAGATAGGAAAGAATGAAAATTATGAAATATATATATATATATATATATATATATATATATATATATATATATATATATATATATATATATATATATATGCTGTACTAAGAATTTATCCATGCGGAATACTGAATGGAACTGATCGTAGACCAATGAAAAGCTATACCTCAATCCTTTAGTACATGTACATGTAGTTTCAGATAAATTTGCTCTAATGGACAGTCAACCGTTGTACATTTTATCACAAAATGTCTGAAGGGTAAAAAAGAAGAATTCAACCTAATATAATTGCTTCCTGCTCTGAGAAAAATGAACTTTAAGTAGTAGACTTTATCATTTTAAAATTTGTGTAATTTTTTCAGATTTATATTCGTATCGTTTATTTTCAGGTATTTGACGGTTTTGTTGTACTATCTGTCTGTACCATGGAAGTTTTGTTTACCGTATTTTGGAATGACGTCATCTGTTACCATGTGGCGGTAGAGGCAGCCACTTATGTGGTGGCCCTTCGCTTTCTCCGAATTCCAAGAGCTTGTAGTGGTAAGGATATGCTGTAATTTATCATAATTGATAAAAACTTATCTCTAAAAATCACTGGCTTTGTAGACAGAAATCTTTATCCTGTATTTCTTTATACGGGTGAAATACATGTACATGTATTATATCTTTTTATTTAGTTCGAAAGAGAATATATGCAGAGCGATTAGAAAACGAGATGCACTATCTGAGAAAGGCAAAATCTAAATCGGAAGAGCACTCAAGGGAGCTGGCCACAAAACTAAAACGCCAGCAGGTAAATATCCGTTGTGAAGTTGTCGATACAATGCATTTACTGAAAAGGGTACAACCTGGGTTGTTTTTGTTATTCACAATGTTGCATTAAATTTAACTCAGATAGCTGTACATTTTATTTTCAGAGAGAAATACTAGAATTACAAAACCGGCTATCATCGGCATCGATGGGTTTTTCAAATGAAAATATATCATCTATATCAACCAGCGATTTAAGTATGAATTTTCTGGTCATCTTCATTTGTAGCGTTTTAGACGTGTGAAAATGTCTATAATCAACAAACTAATGCATCGATTTCCGAATAATTGTTTTCTTTTTGATAAAAAAATGTTTTAATTTCCCTTGTTGTGAAAGGTACTCCTCAGATAAGTAATGGAACCTTACCCAACGGGTTTCATACCACTACACTTGATGAGCTAGATTCTGTGACGTCATCAATTACTGCTGCCAAACAAGCTGACCTTACAGATACCAAAGAAAATGGCCCAAAGGAATCGGCCTCAAGAGAGAGTAGTGTGCAATATAATTCCCTTCTCAGTGAAATTAACTCAAAACGAGATGAAATTCACAAAAAGAGTCTCAAATTAAAACCGGGTCACTCCCGAAACACTTCTCCAAAGAAAGAGGCAAATGATCACGAAGTGATCTACTCCAACGCACATGAGACTACTTACATGAACACTTCCGGTATGTATGATGGTAGTGGCGGGACTTATCATGAGAATAATGCAACTGACATTGTGTTCCATTTGGACAAAATCATTCGTGACAATCAGTCGAATGGCACAGCATCCGCCATCAGGGATTCTGCGCAGTCCGCACAATCTGTGGAAACGGATGATGATGAAGCACTCCTTATAAAAAGTGAGAGTCATACAGAATTTCCATCGGATATTTGTATTGTTTTGGTGTATTCAATTCCAGTTATACGCGAATAATGATAATTGAAAACACCAGAAAAAGACATGTATCCTGTATACAGTTTTAGGCTTGTTTAACATGACCATATTCTTGTCTTTTGCAATTGGACAAACTTTTTTCCTATCGTTTTTTTCAGGAAGTTATGGTGCTAAGTCTGGTTCCCATGTTCGAGCCTCGTTTGCAGGAAGAGAGAATAAAGCATTTAGTCACGGAGAGAAGACTAGGGCTTCATTTACTGCCCGCGAAAGTAGAGCCAATTTTCATCCGGGATCAGAGGTTAACGAAATGGTCAAAATGAGAAATCTAGAAGTAATGGCTGAATATGAGGGAACAAGGACGTATCGTAGTGCTGTAAGTTTTGTTTCCACTTTAACAGGTCATAACTTATGAAGAGGTGGATCTAGAATTGTCATTGTTGTGCAGGAAATGACAACAAATACAAGAAGAGCTCAATTTATATTGAAAAAATTATTATACACCATCAGATTTACTTCGTTTTTGTACTCTGAACGATATAGTTCTTTCATTTAGTCTTTTCGGATATTAACGGTCATTTAGGGGTCTAATGGGTGCGCTCCCTTTCTACAAGTACAGCAGAAGTGAATTATAACCTGGGAAAGGTAAATATATTGTGCGTTAATATGCCTGAACATATTTGTTTATTCTTGCATCTTTCTTATTTCAGGAGGGCATTCCACTTACAGACCTTTAGATTTTATAGAATTTTGCCTGCTGGAACAGGAAGCTTGGAAGGCATGTATTTATCATACTTATTGTAAAAACCAATCCAAAACCTGTCTCTGATTAATTTCCTTTTTTTATTACATGTACATTTGTTCATCACTTCCTATTTAGGAAATATATCAGTAGTGCAATAACGATGTTTTTTTTTTTTTTTTTTTTTTTTTTTTTTTTAAATTTGAGATTAGGTGAAAGTGTTGTCATACATATATTGTTAATTTTCAAACTACCGGATTGTAATAAGTACAGAATAAATTTATTACTATTTATGCAGCAATTTCAAAAGAACATGGAGGAATAAGTCGAGAAAAAGGCCCATGGCTGGACAAATAATTAATAGGTTTAAAAAAAATTATCAATGACGAAATTTTCTTGGATGATACTATATGTAGTTCAAATCAATATAAACACATGCATGTATACGCTCTGTAAAATCATACAGTATGTGCAATCTCAACAGTGTTGGAAGTATTAATATGTAAACTAGTATGTACACACCGAATTTGGCAAAATTGATAATTTTTGCAAACTACATACAGGGTGTTTCAGAAAACCTGCAACCATTTTGATTGGTTACATTTTACTCGTGTTTCATCCAATAGCATCCACCAACATGTAAAATTAAAAAGCACAATTTCAAAATCTATTCCTGTTAAAATGAAATTAATCCGGCAAATAGATAATGAGTTACGAAATAATAAAGAAAGCCTTTAAAAATACATCTAGTTACAAAATATGTTTAAAATGACGTCATTTTGCTGGATGAATAAATGTAATCGATGCAGGAAATTTCTCATAACCATAACTAGTGCACAAAATTTGTTTGTTTTGAACCTTGATTAATTTTTTTTTTACTATTTAGAGTTCATGTGTTGTGATGGGGTGTATTTTATAAACTTTGACCTTTAAAATTTAATGTCCCCAGAGGTAAAATCAAGGGGGATAAGTCAGGTGAATGTGAGGAAATCAAATGGTTGCATGTTTTCTGAAACACCCTGTACTAGTATTTATCACAATTTTTCCTTATGAATGGTTTCTCAATTCATTTTTTAAAAGAATATCTTCTAAATCTGAGTTATAATGTAACCAAGATATAAAAAGAGGACACGCTAAGCTTGAAAAGTACTCGTTTATAGCAATGAAATTCGTATTTTCAGTGGTCAATTGCAAAGTAATGATCTGATTGGGAAAAACTGATAAGTAAGGTTCTATTTAAAGTTTGATCCTAGCATGAACCGCTAATGCATTTCCATTCCTTTTCCATAGCGTTATGTTTCGCCGAATTGACCTATAGAATTATTATTTTGTACAACTATGTACACATTAATGATAAAAGCATTGCGTTCAATTACATGTAATACTACATTCAAATATTAAATTCGATATTTATTCGATTAAGGCATTTAATACGCCTTATTCATCCATGTGCTTTACAATTTTCTTCCCATTTCTATAATTTAAGATTGCTTGTATCGTTTTTATTCATATTTTACACCATGTCTTTCGTAATAAATATACATGTAATGTCATTAAAAACTTCATGAACCCATATGATTGATTAATTAATTAAGCAATGCGTAAAATTTATCCTGATTGTAACCGAGAATAATGCAATACTTGGCATTGCTGAAATGCGGGTCGTTTTGCGATGCTTCATCCTTGGAAATATATAGTCTGTGATTTTATTTTAATAAATTAATATCAATATACGTCAAATGTTGATATTTTATCTCTGTTGGTGTATTTAACCTTCACATCTTTCCTTTCAAATGTATTTATCCATAAAATATGAGTGTAACCTGCTTAGAATTTAAAATATTGTGTAAACATGAACATGTAGAGTCACTTAAATAATTTTATTCGTTATAAGCTTTCATATTTTTGTATTATTGTATTTACTATATGCGATATATACATATTGATGTATTTTTATGGTTATATTCGTTGAAAATTGTTTTGTTTTCTAAATAATTTATGTGACAATAAAATGTTATCCAAATGATGTCTTATAAATAGGATTAACTGAAAAGGGCAAGTCAACCTTGTCCAAAACTGAATGAAGTATACATCTGTTAATTACTAAGACAGGCTTCCATTATTTTTTCATTATTTTTTTTTTAATTGTTAGGACCCACAGGAGTTGGTTGCCATCATTTTTTTTTACGAAGACGCACATGACTTGAAATTTATTTCCTTTATGCAAATTAGTTCATTAGTTTAACTAGGAAGGTAGTGCATGCTTCGTATTTTGAGAACGTTATCATCTATAAATGTTAGGTTCATATTATATAAATATTGCATGTAGTTGAGTGTAACATTGAAAATTTTGCGCCTCGGTTGACAATGGTTTTCTTGGGGTGAAAATTTTCAATGTTACACTCAACTACATGCAATATTAATTATACTGAATGTTTCATACAAATACATATTACAGTTAACCTTGCGCGCATAAATTCTGTGCAGTTAATATTTTTAGGAATAAAACCCGTCATCAAGCAATGTTGACTGTTGCTACGCTGAAGGGCGTGGCTTCATTATTGAGCGGGTAATATGTAATATTAAAAATGTGTCTCGACCAATCAGATTCAACTAATTTATATGAAAGTATAATATACAGTATTAACTCCAGCAGAAGGTGGTAAAGCACTAAATATGAAATAATGATTCATATAAACCTGGATTTTTCAACGAAGAATACTATGCTACAAAGAAGAATATGTACCCTTAATAAGTTATCTGTTTGATAAAATGTAGGTTACTTTACAACATTTTAGATTTTAAAAAAAATAGCTGTATAACTGAAAATATAAAATGTGTTGTACAGAAAAAAGCCAGACTTGGATGGACAAGCGATTTTCTGTATATCTAATACTTGGTTGATGCTTATTTATTAACGAATTATACACACATGCAGAAGAAAGAAAAAAAATACTTCTGCAACCCAGATTTTCCTTGATGTCATGAAAAACATGGATATCACAAAGAACAACCACGAAACTAAAGCATATATTCAATATTGAAGGCGCCTCTAGCCTATATAACAATAAGGCTACATGTATGTAAGAAATGATATCTCTCAGAAATACTCTACAAGTCAACTGACTTTATGCTTTTTTTTTCTCCTGGATCAAACATTTTCAAATATTTTTCACACTTTTTTACATCCTATTGTTTAAAAAAAAAAATCTGCAACAATGCATTGTACATGTATTAAACCACAGCGATAATGATGATAACCATGGGCGGATATTTTAGTGATTAAAATTATATAGAAAAGTAACCAAAAAATAACACACACCCCGAAAACATGGACACCTGGTAAAATGGTAAAAAGAGTCACATGAGGAAATCGATTTGCTCTACACCCTCCCCTCTTCCAAAATAGTTGTTTCAAGTTTGGAGAAGTTGTATACTTTTTTTAAAAAAAGAAATCTCCTTTGGCCTGTCAAAAAATTTTTCGAGTCTTCTGTCGGGAATTAGCGTGGAACCCCCGCCCCCCGAAAAAAATCCTGAATCCGTAGCATGATAACAAACTGCCAATCTGATTAAAATCAGCTGTTCTGATACGCTACCGCTTACGAACATCGTTCGTAAGCGGTAGCGTATCAGAACAGCTGATTTTAATCAGATTGACAAACTGCATACTCTTTTTTTTTTTTTTTTTTTTTTTTTTGCATAATATTGTTTGTTAATGGAACTATGCACTGAGTTGAAATTCTACTTCAGTTGTCCGTTCTTTTGTCAATTTAGGCTGTTAAATTCGGATTAGTTACATTTTTCAGGCCCGTAGGAAGCAATTTCAGTTGGGGGGGGGGGGGCACACAAACATTTTTCAGTTGACGGTTGAGGGGGCACTGACAAGCAAAAAAAAAAAAAAGGTCATCAGCTACCCAAAATTCCTTGACAAGCAAAAAAAAAAAAAAAAAGTTCATCAGACGTTTTTATTGAGGGGGCACAACTTTCAAGCATATAGTATCTATGTTTACTATAGTAATCTATATATCGGCGAAATTATTGGGGGGGGGGTGGAAGAAGCCCCCCCCCCCGGTTCCTACGGCCATGTTTTGACGGACCTTCCTCAAATTTACAGGGAGGATTTGCGGCAAAAGTAAAAATTTTACATAGCATATTATATTATAACACTGATACCTTAAGGATTTTTGAGGGACAATCTTTATTATATAGTAAAAAGGGGAAATTGTATCAGAGCTATCAGGATGTATAGATAGAACGTTCTATCGATATTGTCCTACGGACCCGGTTTCTCCTGAGACACAGTTAGAGGGTGGGGTGGGGGTGTTACACCATCCATACTTAAATGTTTGTGAATATTTTTTCCAGTTTTATAACAATTATTAACACCATAACCACCAATTCTTGGTTTATATTGAAAAATAGTTTCAGTTAACACTGTGGATTGTGTGCCTCCGCACTACAAACGGAAATAACTTGAAAACATGCAGACAAACTGAAAACCAGGAACGGATCCAAAATTTCCAGTTAATAAATAACAACAGACACTAAATATATACGTTTTCTTGTATTTAATATGAGTTTTAGCATGGTTTATCATGACTTCAATTTAATGGGGGATGGGTACATATATTACAATGTCAGAAAATTGTATTTCAGGGAAAAACTGGGTTATTTCCAATGGGACTGGGGCCTATTTCACCCAAAAGATAACTGACCTCTTCACACATTGGTTGGTAGGGGAATTATTTTCGAACACTGCAATAATATGCATACAATTTATAGCTTACTAAATACAAGTTCGTTCTGAAAAGTTACAAACCTGTTTTTCATTTGTGATTCACAGAACCTCTAGATATGACCATTCAACATGATTAGTATTACAAGTATATTTTCAACATTTACAATGCAAACAGTTCCGAATTTACTTCCTTTGTGGCAGTATTACTGAAAAAAGCCTTTACTTGACATTCACAGGGGAAAAAAATAAAAACAAATCACTCTAGTAACAAGCTAATTAATGAACATACACAGAATTGTAAAATGTGCTAATATATACATGTATCCATCTGAGATTTTGTAAAAAAAAATGTAGAAAACAAAGTGCACTATCCCAGAGCTGAGACGTGGGAGTGACTTTGTCGAGATTGTTATCAACCTCCCTGACAATGGTGACCAGTACATGGTCCATTCATATAAAGCTTACACATCATTCCATAGGGAATTTAAAAAAAAAAAATACAAAGCATCAAAAACAACAGGTTTTACCTCCAACTATAATGAGTATGAATCATATGTACAAAAAGAAAAAAAAAGAAAAATTTTATCAACATTTTCAGCTGTGTTAATTTCAATATTTTATAAAAAATGAAGACTATTTTTTTTTTTATTACTACATGGCACATGAATACATGGCATATATTTTGTTCTTGATTCTAAAATGCTACTTTGATCCAATTTTTAACAAAGATGTATAAATACAGCAAATTTACTTATACACTCTGACGATATAATGTACATATATCTTACAAAATACTGTTTACAAAGTTTAATGCAGTTCTATTATCTTGAAGATAAAATCATATAACTAATATTTGAACACACTTTTATTTTACAAAATTTTTTTAAAGCTATTGTCAGTTTAAAAAATAATTACATAAGACCCCCACGAAATTTGTACTTGATTGTGATCTGGTACATTGATAAGACATTCACACACTACTATAAAATCAACACTTATACATTTGTGTTTAAATATTCTAATAATGCTATGTACTTTTATGTGTAATACAAAATACTGTTTATTAAAGTTAATGCAAACATCAATTTTAATATTTATATCATCAAAATTATATAAATAACATTTCAACATTTCAAAAATCATTTTAAAGCCAGTGTACATGTAAGTATGTTTCTAATGAAAAAACAAAAACAAAAACAAAAAACATACCCCATATAAATTACATTTGCACTAATCCTTTAAAAATTTCTCAAAATTAATGATCAATTAATATATATATTTTCAAGTTTTGAGCATATTTGGTTAATACATAATTAGATGTGTTACTTTATGAATTATCCCTCTTTTAGATGTTCCCGCTGAAAAAGAAAAAAACCCCCACACATTTATGGTTTCTCAATGTGACAATAATCTATAAATGCTTGACATCACCTGTGGAAATCAGTGACAAACTCTGAAAACATAAGTCCTGTGGCTGATATAGAATCCCCTAGTCCAACTGTTTTCAATGGTTGTTTACAAACTAATACAGGACTAAGAGCGAAGTGAAATCCGTCTTTTTTCCAGGTCATAATAGGCTGACTCTCGTTAAATGTTCTTTCTTTGTCTCCACTAAACAGCTTAAACTGCTGTGGAAATTTCAAGGTCACCAGGTCTGGGTCAGGAGATTCGACGTCACAAGCCTGGACCCCTGCGACCCTCGTCCCAGCTCCAACAGCAGATGGATTGTTCCTCCATGCTGACGAATGGATGCCTATAATGTGATAGGTCAGACAGTGGAAATGAACCCTTGTCAACTTACGAGATGGAGATTCTTTAGAATAGCCATGTGTCTTTAACACCCATAAAATAATATCACTGATTTTATGTATTTCTGGCTGCCCTTGAATGTTCTCAAAATAATCACTGTGGGGTCCTTTTGCAGCATGGGACAAAAATGTAATTTCTTGTTCATTTAATCCAAGAGAAGATACTTTTGAAACGATCTGAAAAATAGATTCATGATTAAGTGAATGTTTAACTGTTTGTATTGTTCCTTGTTCATGTTGTACATATGTAATTCCATTATGAATTCAAAACAGAAATGCAGAATTACATAGGCATGTTAAAAATTTACAGAACTGACAAATTTGAGCTATTACAAAAACTGAAATAAATTACCTGGTCAGCTATAGCTTTAACAAACTTCTGGTTAGCCATACTTGCAAGTTCTAGATGCACAGGTGTTGTGTTTGGAATTTTGACCAGTTCATTTTGTATAAATAATAGCTTCTGATTAAAAAAGTCTGGTGACTGTCCCTCTAACAGGTGAAGCCCTGAGAGAATAATCAAGTCTGGATTGACATTTTTAGAGTATTGAAAGAAGCTTTCTATCATTGTTGCCTTAGAATTAGATTCATCAAAGCTGGTTATGAATCTTGTAGCCACTGGTGCTGTGTGGTTTCCCCAGGATTCCTCCACTTGGTATTCCATTATCAGGTGAACTTCATCTTTTGGTATATGACTCATTTTCGGAATAGTTATGGATTTGGGGAGCAATTCCAACAACTTTGGACCTACAGGCCCTACCAAATGAAGCTACAAAATTCAATTTATCAGAAGAAAAAAAATATATATATAGATTCTAAAATCATTACATGTATATAAAGAGACATTCCACAAATCTAATATTTTGGCAAATTGACAAGCTACTTGACAAAATACCTCTACTTTTGGAAATTCTAGAGCAATTTTGTTCCCAATCAAGGCTGCATTACCTCCTATGTAAAACTGTAATGTAAATAAAATCCCATACAATACAGCAAGAATTAAAAAGAAACTCAAACGAGTAGCATATGTACAGTATACAAACAGTATACAAAACCTAAACATTATATTTACCTGAGGGTTAGATAGTTTTTCTGCCTCTGAAACAATTTTCCTGAACAAATCAGCATCCATAAATGCTCTCTCTGCAGCCGATCCCTTCTTGAAGAAGTGAGAGAAGGTTTCTTGCAGATGATCCAGTGTAAATAGCTGGTCATGGTTGAAGTCGTCCCCAGGGGTTATGTTAAGCTGCAGAAGTAGCTCAACTCCAGGGACAATTAGATCTACATTGGAGTTTATTCTGAAGGAAAACATTTTTAAGAATCATAAAATATGCAGCATATCAAAATTCACTGCACATTTACAAACTTTAAATACAAATATCCTATAAAAGAATTAAAATAGGATTCTTAAAAACTTGTCTGGAGTACAAAATAAACTGTTTTGCATGTATGATGTTTGGCCTATTATTTAAACTCAGACACAAAATAAAGGTTAAAAAGCTAGTGTACTGTAAATCTTTGTTATATTCATTCAAAAGCCAGAAACATTTTACAAATCAAAAACAAGGAAGGAGTTCCAATGACTAGAGTGACAAGGATGTGTAACAAGTTTCAAAAACTCCTTGTAACATGCATATATAAACACTGACTTTCAATTTCAGGGTTCGAAATTCACTATATACAACTCGCAAAACGCGAGTTGGAATTCCCAAATTGCGAGTTAAAAATTAGGTAACTCGCAAAAACTTGCGAGTTGATTTTTTTTTTTTTTTTTTGCATTGAAACTTTAGCAAAATTATATATTAATATGACAGAACACAATACTTTTGATTTAAATCAGTAATTTAAATAAAAGTCACACTGTAGTTGTATTTTATGTATTGTACAGTAGTTGCTTTTTCCTTAAGTAACATGTATTTAATTTATATAAATTTAACTTTAATTATATGAAAATTGCGAGTAGTCTTATAAAATTGCGAGTTCACTTTGTTGGTACTCGCAATTATTTGCGAGTTGTAATTTTGGGGAGTTTCTAACCCTGAATTTGATGAGTATCATAGGCATCGGAACCGGGGGAGGGGGAAGGGGCTAAGGTAGGCTTAGCCCCACCCACTTTTTTTGCAAAGATGGACATAATATAGGCATTGAACATTGGGGCATAGGTTTAGCCCCCCTCCTTTCAAAGGGAGGGGGGCTAAACCTAAGGTAGGCTTAGCCCCCACCCACTTTTTTTGCAAAGATAGACATAATACAGGCATTGAACAATGTGGCGTAGGTTGACCCCCCCCCCCCCCCCTTTCAACAGGCACATGGCAGTGTAATCAAAGAAGGGTAAGTGGTAGAGTTTGAAAAAAAAATTGGTACTAAAAGAAGTTTGATCCTAACCCCCCCCCCCCCCCCCCAAAAAAAAAGGATTTTCAGGTTTGGACAATTTTCAATTTTCCTTTTTTTTTTTGGCTTGTCAAGTTTTTTCAGGCTTGAAATTTTTTTCTCTTTCAATTACCCCCCCCCCCTCCCCCTTTCAATTTGCTTCCGATGCCTATGAGTATTTCTGACCACAGTTACCCAGAATATTAACCTGTAGGTATAAAATTTGTAGGAGTTATGTATACCAATAAAGCTGAAGAACTTCCTTGTTCAGAAGTACATGATAATTCTTTAATTGATTAATATTTTGTTTTTCTCCCCAAAATTTTCATTTTTATGTTCTTTTCAGTGGCAACTAATCAAATGCATAAGCTCAACCCAACTTGCAAAACAATGTTTCTGCACATAATTTAGAGAATCCACGAAATACCTCTTGACAATTACATTATATCATGACTTTATATGGCTTGAAAACTTATATGTGCTGTTTGATACGTAGAAGTTTGTCTCATGAACATGTTCATCAAAGGAAATAACTATATATAAATACATGAAAGCAAGAAAATTTCATTTCATTTTTTTTTTCAAATCGTCTCGTTCATCGTCTAGTTTCATTTTGCATTTGCTGAGTGCAATTTTTTTTCAATTAATTTCATTTATCTGTTCTTGAACTTGAAAATAACCGTCAGTAACGAAGGGATGTGATATAAATTGCTGTCACCAGTGTTCCTCAATTTTTTACACGCGAGAGTATAAAGTAAACACTGGAAAACACGTGTCAACTTACCCAACAAGCAATTTCCTGAATTGATTATTAGGCAATGAAATACTTTCTGACCAAGATGATATGATTTCCTGTTCAACTTCAGTGCTGTCTGAAATCTGATTTTTGTAGACAATATATCCAATTAATACAGAAAGCACAAGAACAGCCACGGATTTAACAATCATATTGTTTTTGCGGTGCCGTGGAACTCATAGCAGGAAAACTCGGTGCAAGAAAATAATTCGCGTTTATGTCAAGGATGTCAAGTTGCTAGTTCGCAATAATTATTTCAAATTATATAAATTGTAATTTAATAAATTTATTATAATGCATACTTTCTTCTCAAATAAGAGATAGCTGTTAAAGTTGTTGGTAAAAAATGTATATTATTGCGCGATCAATCTATGCGGCAAGTTGTACTTAGTTAAGTCGTGCAAAGGACTCCTCGTCATGCAATGTGCATATGACGTACCTCAACAAATCAACAAGACCTGCAACTCCCGAGCTGATTTCGTAGAATAAGAGTATAGCATTTTTTTTTTTTAATTTAGGTCATCCTGATACTAATATGTTTGTTTGGAATGGCCGCCGGGGGGGGGGGGGGGGGGGGCGGCGGTGAAGAAGCCAGGAATGGTTTTGAATGATTTTGCTTAGATTTGACGCTAATTAGTGTTTACGCGGGACGCAATTCAAAGCTAACAATACCTCTATTTTGGCTTTACTGACGTACATGTTGACAGCCTATGGAAATGGGTCATAGAATTACAGGAAAGACTACATGTAGTTTAAATGGAACCATGACATTGTAGACCAAATGATGCAATTTAGTCTAATGCGCAGGCCTTTAGGTCGTATAATACTTTGTTTAGTATTAATAAATATAAATTCCCGGCTGTATACACCTTGCAGGTACTCCCCATATTGCATGTATATATATATATGATTTATATATAAATATATACTGTACCTGTTTAGTTAAAATTTGTATATGTTTACTAGTTAGTGAGTTAGAGTGGGGAATACCTATAATGTACACCTCAAATGTAGAAATTAAAATATGCTAGATTTTTTTTTTATCTCGTAACTATTTGCCAATTCGGCCGAAAATCTGTAAATAAAATTCACATGATCAAATACGTTAAATGTTGACTATGGATTATCATGATGTGACGCTCGTACTTGAGACAAAAGTTCCTATATGAAATATTATAAGATAACAAACAGTAATCAACTCAAAGTCTATTTGACCGATACGAAATTGGAGCTGAGCAAACATCTAAAAATATCAAAGGTGGGATCAGGTGCTATGGAGGAGTAAGGATCCTCTGTTGACCGGTCAATCAACATTGGACTTAATGATTAGATTGTATTTGCTACAAGGTCATTGTATCGACCATAGAATTTGCGAAATGTTGACTTTAAACGGGACTTTTGATATCCTTGTATCATTAATTTATTTGTCAATAGCTTGCCTCGTTTTAGAAATTGTTCGGACGTAGAGCATGTTCTTGCGTATCGAATCAACTTGGAGACATAAATATTTAGACGTAAGGCCATGTGGAGAAGGGCACATGCACTAAAAGTGTAAAATTAGCTTGGGCATAATTTTTATTGTATAGTCTGTACAAGCAGAGGCACTTTTTTCTATAACATTTTTTACCCCATTGTATAACTATGTTTTATTATCATACTATGGGGTTAAAATATATTACAGAAACAAGCGCCTGTGTTTGTAGCACAAAGATTGCAGACACTTATGGATGACTTTAAAATTAGCGCTATGGCGTGACTTCTATCAATGATTAAGAATTCGTCATGACACAGAGAAATTTGGACGTTTTGTTCAGGCCTTTCCTCCCCGGGATGGTAGAAGCTCACCCATATGTCACAGATATTGTTTATAACCAGAGAGTGTCATGCGTACAGATAAATACATGTACATAAATGTTGCATAATGGAGCAATTTTTGAAAATTACAAAATAGTATTTCCCCTCTTGCTCCGATTCGTTTAATCTTGGAATAAATTATACGCTTTGCAGAAAAAATACAAAAAAGAGATATTATTAAATTTCTCTCAGATTATAAAATTTTATATTGAAAACTTGCCTAGTCATTTACTCGTCAAAACGACTTTCATATATATTCCTTTCTGAATATTTATAATGATGACGAATATGAATCGTTAATACAAGAGTTATTTCCCTTATTTAAACTTGTACATAGAATATACAAACTTGGATTTCAACAATATTTGTACTTCCATTGTAAACAAAAAAAAAACAAAAAAAAAAAAGCCTTTAAATTGATATCAGAAACCAGAAGGACAAGGCAATTGTGTGTTTGGTAATAGTGTGTCGCTGCTTTTCATCTTTTGAAACGCTTGAAGATTCTACAACCGCAAGTCAATTTTATGTGCTAGTCATTACTAGTCTGTATATATTTAACACATGAAACTAACTTCAAAGTTAATTTTGAAATTTTTAAGTGATTATAAATCTAAACAATATATATGCACTTTTTTTATTTTGTTTAAAAAACATTTAAAACAGCATGTAACAAATATAATATTTTTCTATCACATCTGATCAGTTTGTTATATATCACATACAAGCACAAAACAAAAAATACACACGTCGTATCTATCGAATATAATTATTCTTCTTATAAAGAAAGCCAGTTTTTGCCTGTCTGCTTTAGGTTAACTTTGGAAAGCTGTTACTCAGCAAAGAATTTTTACAACTGGTGCTTAAGACTTGAAGAGGAGCATAAGAAAGTCACTGTTACACAAAAAATAAGTTTGATTTTGAGATTGTGTTTCAAAAAGCTACCCACAGAACACGGATAATAGTACTCTGGCTTTGGTGGAAATCAATAACAAGCAAAATTTATATTGTATTTAGAAACCAACTTGGATTCCCATCTTCGTCTAGCTCTGGTATCAAATATCGCTTGCCTTTAAAAGCAAACATGGATGCACTAAATTTGTTCTGTGTTGTTGCTGGCTGTCCTAAGTCTTCAATAGTCTCTGAACTTACTGCCGGTGCTAGTAGGGGTCTTGTCTCGGCTGTTTCGGACCACGGTTGCCTCTCACCAGATGCAAAAATACCATAAAAGACAACCCCCGCTAAATGAATGGAAGCGGCAATGGTGAATAGTAATTGCCAAGACTGAATATTCTGTTGAAGAGAAATGACAAATTTCTGAAGTGTTTCGTACATTTACAATGTTCGTGATTGCATTTCTTTCAATTCGAACAGCATTCTATCACCAACAGACGTTTCAGTTTAACTTGCAATCATACAAATTTTAACACTTCGTTTCTCTCTTGATTTTACGTTACCTGTTGCGCTAACTTTCCTGCCACGGCCGTACTGAGGATAGCACCCAGAGTACCAAGTCGAGAGAGGCCCGTTAAAATGCTGACGTACTGCGGGGCGAGATCTAATGGGTTTACCTGGTAACCGGAAATTGCTAACCCACTGAAACCCACCCCTACACACAACAGTACGAGGGCTATCTCACTACTATGTACAAATCGTAGTCCTAGCAGGCAGAAAGCCTCTATTCCAAACCCTACAGAAAATGAAAACAAAAATAAATAAATAAATAAACAAAAGCCATGTGATGATATGAATTTTACACAAGGGGTAAGCAGCGACTTAAATATGGCAGCGGAGACTCGCACCACCTCCCCCTCCAAAAAAAGGTTAAAGTGTTTGAAATACATGTTTAAACTTGCAATCATGTTTATCATCTAAATTTTTTACGTACATTTTTCCTATTTCTAACATTTAAAAGTTTTATAAAACTAACCCATGCACTGTGCTAATTTCCTTCCATGAGTGGTGGACAGTAGATGGTGTTTTATCAGTTTGTCGATTAGAACGCCTCCTGAAATCGTCACTATTGTCATCAACACTTCCGGTAATGCTGCCGTGAATCCAATCTATAATAATATATAAGAAGGTGGTTTCTATTACATTTTATACATACGCGGAGATCTAAGCTATGCCGGGTACATGAACATACATGTAAATTTTCATCTATATTCTGAGAAGGATAGTAAATATAATTTTTGGTAATACAGCCGATACTTGTCTTACAGTCGACAAGGGCAAGACACACCCTCTGTTCACCAGCATCCTTTCTGCTAAGTATGAGCTTCTAAAGTGTCTTAGTTTCAAATTAATTTATTTCCCAGAAAAAACCTTAAGGAAGTAAATTATATTCAAATGTAAAATAAAACCTTAAAGCAGGTGCACAGGTGTAAATGGTCTGTTTTTTTTTTTTAAAATAATTTCTAAGTTTCAAAGCGATAAATCTCCAGACGAGGACATTTTATGGAAAAACGTACAAACAAAATGGCGAACAAGGTGTTTTCTTTATACCCACAAACTTAGTTTGCAAAAGGGAGGGGGTATATTGAGGAGGAGTTCAGGTGACAAGAAAGTGTGACAGACGGTGAAGGTAACAGTAATATACTTGTAAAACAACTTTCTTCAGAAAATGGGGATATAAATATTTCCATGAAGAAAAAGTCTGGCTTTTTTGAAAATTATTTTCAATTAATAATTATTTTCATCTGACTTAATGGGGTTGACTGGGGTTTTCATTGCGCAATTCTTCGCACACTATGGTGAAATAAAGCCTATTTACACTTTTAAGCACATTATTTTAACATATTTTATCAGATTTAATAGAATTAAGACATTACAGATTAAACAAATAATTACTTTTATAAAGAACTGATTCTTTAAACAATTTTTGAGCAAATATATACATGGAAATCATTTAAGTGTGTTAGTGACGTTATGATAGACCGAAAGTCTTTTTAAAAAGAGGGCCATAAAAAGTGAATCAGGTATAAGAGAAAAAGTATAAAATACATGTTCTTGAAATTTTAAACACAGAAATTTGAATATCTCACAGTTATTTTTTAATTTTTTTTTTGTAACTGTCATCTTTTGTAATACTCATTAAAAGCGGGAAAGTTTCTTAAATTTTGAGATGCCCCCTCTGGAAACCAGATGTTAAAATTTTGTATTCTTTACTTATAATGTACAATATAGTATTCCTTATCACATATAATTTGAGCAAAAAGTTTATTGTAGTATTTTTATAATTTGCTTTGACGTCCTAAAAATAAAATTTCCTATAGTAGTTAATGTAACTGTATTTTGAGATTGTCCCTAAAAATAACAGGTAGATTTTCCTGAAACTGCATGTAACTTGAAGTCAGTATATCCTAAACATGGTATAAATGTAAAAAAAAAAAAAAAAACAAAAACAAAAAAACCCAGTCGGCTCCCTAGCTTAAGCAAACAAGCTGATTTGTAATTTTCTTGAAGCTTATCAATAACTCACTGTGGCAATATCCTTTCTGAAGGCATCCTTGAAGTATTGTGGAACCTGTGTTATCATCATAGAAAAAATCCAGTTTCGACAAAAACTTCCAAGAATGATGGCCCATACAGGCAATGATCGTAAAATTTTAGTCCAAGGAATCTCCTTTGCCTAAAATAGCGCGGGATTACTATTGAGTATCATCAACTACATATATGAATAAACTTTAATCCTTTTAAAATTTACGATTTTTTAAGAACTAAAAACCAAATTACCACACTCTGGGAGCCTTTGGAGATATTAGCCCCTTCTTTTGCAAACAAGTCCGCCTCTGACTGGTGCAAATTTGGGTGGAGACCAGGAGTATCGTAAATTGCACACACCCATACGACGGACCAAATGAAACCAAGTCCACCTACAACATTTTAATAAAAGAAATATTTGGATAACATCGATGACCATACGATGACCGTTCTTATTTTTTACGTCAATATGCAATTTTTTTTTTTATTTTGGCAGATACAGTTATGTCTGCAGTTCTCTCGTTTTATACGAAATTTTGACCTACATGACTGTATTCCTGTATTTGACTGCGATGAAACTTTTTCTACAATAATTGTTTCTGAATGAACGATATATTCCTCCAACTTACGTAATAATAAAAACCCAGAGTACTCCGAAACATGCATGAGTTGTGCACTATTAAATACAGTCAAACCTCGTTGTCTCGAACTTCAAGGGACCAAGAAAATACTTTGAGATATCCGAGGATTCGAGATATCCATGGTAAAATACTTAAGAAATAAGTACCTGGGACTTCAAAATCGCTTTGACATATCCATGGTATTCGAGATATCCGTGTTCGAGATACCGAAGTTCAACTGTATTAAGGTTCCTCCACCCTCTGATAAGAGAGATAACTCTCACTGGGATAAATGACTATAATTGCTTTATAAAATTGTCAAATAAAAAGCCCATTTCTGTTAAATTTTCCACCTCAAAGTTTGCTGAAACTATGTGCATTTTGCTTAAAAATAAGATTTCTTTTGGAAAATCGTCAAGAAATTTCGCGTATGTATCAATTGTATTACGAACCGTAGAGGAATAAGCTTGTGTTCCAGGACACCCAACATGCCGTTACACCAGTTATCACCATTGCTAGGGCCGGGCTCAGGTATGCCCCTAATAACAAAGAAATAAAGGTGTTTTTTGAGGTTCACTGACCCTCTCATAAGAGAGATAATTCTTAATGGGATGAGTACTACTAGAATTAACTCAAATTAAAAGGCCACTTCTGTCAAATTTTGAGTTATAACGTATGCTAAATTTGCTTGCATTTTAATTATAAAGGAGATGGGCGAACATAGCGTGCAGAAAGCCTATAGCTTCAGAAATATGAAAATCATGTTCAGTTTGTGAATTTGATATTTAGAGTAAAGTTCTCATTATTGAAATGTATGAGATTGTGATAAAGAAAACTTTTCGGAGGAAAATTTTCTCGGCAAAATTTATTCTTTTATTAAAAAAATTAATGTGGTACTCGTGGGGTTCGAACCCTAGCAATAAAAATCCTGAGTATCATTTTCTTTCGAGACTAGCACGATAACCACTAGACTACACAAGTCCTGACGAACAGTGGCATTTAAATCATGTTTGTGATATGACCCTTGACTTAATGGACTTAAGTATTTCTCGAAAAGATGCGAATTTTATGTCATAAAAGTATATTTTTAAGGTATAGTGGGTCATTGCTCCATATTTTTGATAACCAAAAATGTGTATTTTTATGCAACTTTCAAAAAGGTGGAGCGAAGACCCACTCATATCGAAAAACAGTGTTATAGTATGAGAAAATGACTCTTTTTGCCCGCTTCAGTGTGTGTCTAATATTTCACAGGCAAATAATTTCAATCTTTGAGGGATTTTTGCAAATTCTAGAGATTTTACATAAAGTATATTTTAATGTTAGACGAAATATCAAGGAAAATTTTGATATAATTGAAATTTAATTTTTCATCACCATGTTTGTCACACTATAGGCTTATCGCTCGTCATGTTCACCCATCTCCTTATGTGTTTTAAAACTGGAAAATCATTAGCGCAATCTAATTAAAATTAGATGTTTGATCCGCTCGCATACTCGTTAGTGTAACGTGTCTGCGAGTGGATCTACAATGTACATGTAACATCTAATTTAATTAGATCGTCATGATAAGCATTAATTCAAAATTTTATATGAATGAACAAAGGGACTGTGAGCTTTAAAATCCCTTTTTTTTTAAATTTGATTTTGATATACCTAACCTAGTAAATATTTGTTTGAGCTTTGGTTTTTATTTTTCATCCCAATAAGGAAATAATTGATAAAATCAGTGTTGTTTTGTAAATGCAATATACTCTAGTTGCATTTTGAATGTGATCCTTTAATAATTTAACTTCCGGATTACCACTCAGTATTATACTGGTGTTTTTAACACATGAAATAAATCCACTTTCAATTAAAGTGGATTTATTTCATGTATTAACAAAATGCATTTGGACAATACCACTTAATCTTTGTTGAGATAAAAAGCTTGAGGAATGCATAATTGTTATGAGTTCTATACTTAGAGCGTAAGGTAATTAATGGATATTTATTTGTTTTAAAAAATGCATATATCATTATTCGAATGAACTCATAGGGTATATGTGACAATGCCCGACATATTTTAAAGAACACCAGCAGATGGGTTAAAGTCGACGTTTTTTTTTAAAGAATGGTTGTTGTTTGAATACAAGTATACATGTATTACTGAGTGCAGATATTGATTTGGCCACTTATACCGTTTACACGGACCCAATTTAGTGGCATATCTCTATTACATAATAAACATGTTCTTCTAGGGATAAGATTTATATGTTTACATTGTGTGTATTAACCTGCTATTCTCTTTAAAGAAGCGGACAGGCTTTTGCCTCCATGTAGGATGTAGGCGAAAGCCTGTCCTCTTCTCTAAGGAGACTAATTTACCTGCATACACTACTGTGACCATTCGGCTTTTCTCCGACTTGGGCGCCCAAGCAGATATCACACCATTCATAGCGGGTACGGACCAACCCTGCCAAAAAAGACGAGACGTTTTCAAGGGTATACAGACTCCTTATTGCAATACTACATGTCATGTTCTGTAGACAAAATTGCTCTGCCCTGAGTGATTTTATTTTGCAGGAATAAATGAATACAACATTCCAGAAGTCACAGTTCAAACTAACAATACCTCTACTAGTCCTTGTAGAAATCGTATGAGGAAAACAGGGATGGGACTGGACAGATATCTGATCGGGAACGGTAATACGATCATCAGAACACTGCTTATCATGATGGACAGACCGCATACTCTACAATAACAAGAACTGAACTATAGTAAATAACCTACTTTATACATGTATATAATTATGTACTCCATCTTGTATCATTTCGATTCTACCTTACACCCGGTATACATGTAACATGTCTGGGTTAAACATAAATGTGGATGTGTGTAATGTCGTAATACTTTCATAAGCTGCAGAACTGTAGCTCTGCTATAAAAGGATTTGACGGACCGGGAGCTACAGTGTTACCCATAGACAAAGCTGTATATTTATTGCGCACAAAAAGTTGCACTCGGTTCTGGATTTATTTCTAAAAATTCTTAACGGCACAAAAACTCCATTTCAAAAAATTCCTAAGACCTCTATAAAATACTCTCTTTGTTAACATCTGCTTGAAGCGCGTTGCCCGAATTGTCTTGCCACAAAAACGGCAGTATAAATGAGCGAAATTTTCGATGGTCTCAATTTCAGACCCAGGAGGGCACTATTAAAAACGGTTATAAGGAATGTTTTGTTGTGGAAACAGTAGAAAAATACTATAGAATGTTAAGAACACACGGTTAGTAATATTTTGAGATGACAGTTTGAAAAATCGAGAAGCAGCGCATTTCTTCTGCGCAATAAATATACATTTTTTTCAATGGCTGGCACTGTAGCTCTCTGGCCGTTCATCCCAATTTTTTTAGACCAGAGAGCTACAGGTCTGCAATTATACTTTCACTTACTTTATACGACATGACCCTTTAAAATCTGTGAAATCTAAAGCATCCTTAAACAGATATTGAGCTTGAAGAGTTTTAAACTTACATGAACTAAAATGTATGGTAACGAAATAAGTTTCAAATCGAAAGTAAAAGGATTCATGACTAGTGTTAGTGTGCTAGTTTCCCTGCTCTTTGACAAATAGAAACCTTAAGGACATACGCAACGTAGTTTGTACTTGATTGTCTTTTTCCCTGGAGTTGAAGAGTTCCAATACTTAAAGGAACTGTGTGCTACATTTTAATATCTATACAGTCTGTTGTACACTTCTTCTTAAACAAGTTTGGATAAACAAAACATCTAGAATATATGTTTAGTAATTTTCGTATATTTTTTTAAAAATTTTTAATTATGCAAGAATTTTCATCAATTGATATCTTTTTAAAACCCCTGCATGGTAATGCATGCTGATTCTTTGTCTATGAACACCTGATGGCACTATAATCTGAAATTAAGAATATCTTGAAAAATTATCAGTAGGTAAGGTATGTTGCATTTGTCCTTAAGTTGGGTCCTCAATTTTCACATCCTCGCAACGTCAGGGGCCCTGAATCAACACGTTGCCGTGGTCCCAGTGCAAAGTTTTGACTCAGGACTCCTGACGTTGCGAGGATGCAATTTTCGTTAACAAAGCTGAAAACTAATTAATGTCATCATGATCTAGAACTACCGGTATACCATTACTACTTGTCTGTCTTTGTCCTATACAAAAGATATTAAAGAAGTATTTCTTGAAGTTTTTAATGATGTGCTTGAACCTTATAAATATACATTGCAGACGCTTGTTCATGCCCACCTATCCTTCATCAGTAGAAAAGGTGGGATTAAACTAAGCTTAAAAGCACTTCACAATCGAGTACTCGAGTCTTTTTGTACCTTCTGGGTGAAAATCGAGTTGCCAAATATCCCCCGGGTAATTGCATGATAAAGGAACCGAAGAAATAAGAAGTCTGGAAGTACTGCGCCTCTCTACTAGTCCATCCCGTCACCGAAAAATCCCGAGAGGTTCCGTTCACAGTGCACTGAAAAAGGAATTTTTGAGAAAATTTATGTATGTATTTTTTTAGTACGGAATCTTTGAACTTATAGATTATAAAAGTTACGTCAATCTTACATATACATGTAAATTGACTTATATCCATATGTGAATATGTGTTGTTTCAGTAATTTCTTCCTTAAAAGTTTACCTTTGGTATCTTATATCATGTGCATAATTTTTATCTTTTTTATGAAATACTTTTACATATAAGTAATACATATCATTTAAATATCAAATGATCCAAAAAGCTTTCCTAATCTTTCATCAAACCTTATACATGCACCAATATAAATGAAAAATAGTTATGTTTTAATTTTTTTAACATCTAGTAGAGACACTTTTTGACGTTTCTTACCTTTCCAAAGAGTCCCTCCCTACTTTGACTTGATTTGATAATATGAACCATCACCATAGAAAATACAGATCGATATCCAATAGACAACAAAAGTCCCATAAATCCTAGGAATACGATAAAAATTCGTCTTTGAAAAGCCATCCCGACTGTCGATCACTAGCCTTCTTACACTATAAACTTCTCATTACGGTACATTTTCGCTTTTTGGAAATACCTTCCTCATTCATATCGAAATTAGACTCGTTAAGATATGGGAAACCCGTACTTGTAAATGTTCATTTACGGAAAACTTTTAAGTAGGAGGTTCCCCTATCTAATTTTTCAAAATGACGATGAATATTGCAATATGTAAGTTTTAATACATCAATTAAACGACCACTTTAACCGAAGCTGGAATAGGTCTGTTTTTTTTTCACCCATATTTGTCTGTCTGTCTGTGTGCATGTGATATCTCAAAACTTCGGTTATAGATTTCAATGAAATTTTAGGGTGAAAAAGTATGCATTTGGATAAAGCGGAAAAATCATTACATTGTGAAGTGGTCCTATTAAAAATGCGGATGATGGAGATACATTGTCACACTGCAACCTAGACAAAGAAGTGAATTATACTTAGATTTACAAAGGTAGGCGGAAGTGTGCGTTCTTTCAATGTCATCTTTTTTTCTGTATATGCAGTTATTATCCAATAAAAATGGTAGTTATAGTTTTGTCTCATAGAGTGATGAATGGGCTAGCTATACACGATCATACAATCGCCTAGTACTAGTATGTGCTTTTTACGTGTCCCTAAGTTGGTTATCGAAACTAGGTCTTTTTACGATTCAGAGTTTTCAAAAAAATAAATTTAATTTCTTCATTATTGGGCCATGACGAATGATAATAATGCATGTATTATTCATATAAAATTCCCATGGTATTATTTTTACGAAGGCGGTAAAAGTTTTTGTATATGGTAAGAAAAGTTTACATCCACCAATGATCCACTGGAAGAAGACATCATCTCCAGGATCTGTTGCTTGCGCGCGCATACTGGCTGAAAAGGGGGTTAAACAGAAATGCGACTTCAGTTCACATTGTTTCCACGACATTCTTATACATGTATCTGACCTTACTATAATTTTTGTCTGATCATTTGGTTCCAATAGCGATAGGTTTATTAATCACTTCTAAAATAAGTACTGTCCGATAATGAAAGATGGTGATACATGTACATGTACTTTCTGGATATTGAACTTATTTAATGAAATCTTTGATTTTATAGCAAGAATGGGAATAAAATCGTACATGTAAAGTTACTGCATTTATTATGGCGTACACAGTATTGTTATTGTGCCTTCTTATTTAAAAAGAAAAACTTAATCCCTAAATCTATTTAGCTACTCTGTACAAGGTACAATATTTAATAGCCACTTTGCACTACTTGTACGATGTGCGGGTTATCGAATTTATTATACTGTACTAACAACTGAACACATTGCCCTTATGTCACCAGTTCTCTTCCTTTCGCAACGATGAGCTGAAGATCGAAGTACTCAAAGTGCTCATGGGAACTGAATTTTATTTTTTTTTAATTATTGATTATAGTAAAGAAAAAAAAATAATTGATTCTCAAGAAAACTTAAGTGGATCTAGAAATTTGAAAAATAGTAAAGGTATCATCTCAAAAACCAATTTCTGTGTAAAAAAAAAAAAAGGGCCCGATCCATGATAGTGTGCAAGGAAGGAGGATAAATGTAAATCATGAAAGATTTGAGGATAAATGAAATTATTTTACTGTATATATATATATTTTTTGGTTTCCTTCCTCTGAATCAAACATAGTATATAACTAGAAATATGTCTATGGGACATTAATGCCACGCCGAGGGTATATAAGTAATGCAGCAACATGAAAATTTGTAGTAGTGTATGAAGTTTGATCAGAATATCTTGAATAGTTTCTTTAAAATTGAAACTAAAATTTAAAAAATTAGGTATAGATGATAAATTCTCACCAAATTATGTATAAGTGCATAATCTTACATAAAAATATCTTAAACGGTTTATTAAAAAGTAAGCAAAATGCAAATTTAAGAAAAGTGAGGTCAATTTCATAAGGTCAAGGTCAACAGATTTTGATGCAGTTGAATAACTCTCACTAATACGTATCAGCATATGAAGTTTGATAAAGATATTTTGAATGTTTTTTTAAAACTGAGTAAAACACCTATTTAAGAAAAGTTAGATCAAAGTTCAAAAAATGTTGATGCAGTTAAAAAGCTTACATAGTATGTATTAGAATATGGAGTTTGATAAAAATCATAAATGGTTTCCTTAAAACTAAGCTAAACACTAATTTAAGAAAAGTGAGATCAAGGTCAAAGGAAAGGTCAAAGTAAAAAAGAATGTTGATGCAGTTGAATAGCCCTAAGTAGTATGTATCAGCATATGAAGTTTGATAAAAATATCTTGAATGGTTTTTATAAAACTGAGCTAAACATTTATTTAAGAAAAGTGAGGTCAAGGTCAAAGGAAATGTCAAGGTTAAAAAATGTTGATTCAGTTGAAAAGCTTACATCAGTATGTATCAGCATATGAAGTTTGATAAAAAATATCTTGAATGGTTTCTTTAAAACTGAGCTAAACACTAACTTAAGAAATATGTGGTCAAGGTTAAAGGAAAGGTCAAGGTCAAAAAATGTTGATGCAGTTGAAAAGCTCTCAGCAGTATATATCAGCACATGAATAAACTGAGCTTAACACTAATTTAAGAGCCCTCTATACACTGCACACTAAAGAGTTCTGATTTTGTGGTATTTTTATGCAGATAGAGTGACCTGTCCTTTGATCAAGAATAAAGTAAATTGCAATGTACAGTTTATTACTTAATTTGTGATCAAATCAAGCATTCATAACACTTTAATAGGCCAACAGGAAAAGATAGAACACTTCATTTGCAGGTATTTTATCCAATGAAGTAAACAACAGTAATTTCTGTTCATCGGTACTTCATTGTCTTTGAACATTTTTCCTGGGGGTAAATGCAAGGCACCCTATGTTAAAAATGTGATAGATAAGCTCAATATTTACACCTTTACACCATAATTTTCTCATTGTCCAAAAAAAAATATTTTCTTCTAGTGTATAGAGGGTCCTTAAGACATTGAGAGATGTTTGTAAAACACTTATGCCACCTCCCACCCCGCCCCAATTCATTGGAATTTTTCTAAGTCCAGGGGGCATAACTGTCAAAAATTGCTCCAACGTAGCCAAAACAGAGCTTGGCCGAGATATTTTTATGATAAATCTGTATACCAAATTTCATTTCAGTATGTGCAACCTCTACGAAGAAAATGAACAGAAACTACAAATTATTGATATTTTCCTAAGTCCGAGGGCCATAACTCTGACAAAAATTGCTTGATTCTACCCAAAACAAAACCTGACCTAGATATTCTTATGATAAAGCTGTATACTAAATTTCATTTCAGTATTTGCAACCTCCGACCGACTAACCGACAGACAGCAGCAAAGCAATATGTCCTCCCTTCTTTGAAGGGAGGCATAAAAAGTGAGGTCAAGGTCAAAGGAAAGGTGAAGGTTATAAATGTTAATGCAGTTGAAAAGCTTACACCAGTATGTATCAGCATATGAAGTTTGATAAAATATCTTGAATGGTTTCTTTAAAACTGAGCTTAACACTAATTTAAGAAAAGTGTGCTCAAGGTCAAAGGAAATGCCAAGATCAAAAAATGTTGATGTATTTGAAAAGCTGACAGTAGTATGTATCAGCATATAAAGTTTGATAACACTATCTTGGATGGTTTCTTTAAAACTGAGCTAAACACTAATTTATAGAAAGGTGATGTCAAGGTCAAAGGAAAGGTCAAGGTAAAAAAATGTTGATGCAGTTGAATAGCTCTCAGCAGCATGTATCAGCATATGAAGTTTGATAAAATAGTTTCTTAGAACTGAGCTAAAAGCAAAGCGTGACGGAAGGACAGAAGGATGGAAGGACCAAAGACAAACTCTATATTCATGGTGGGGCATAAATACTGCCATTACCAGAATCAAAACAGTATACCATCTCATACTTCCAAGTGGAAAATAGGGTGTATCATAGGTGTCAACTTCATATGTTTACAGTCTCAAGTTGGATCAAAATGCATTTCTATCCATTTCACATTTCATGCATCTTTCTTCAACTGCAACTCTCAGTATGTGGGTGTTTTTTTTTTGTACACTCAATCACCAATGATAATCCATTCTAGGACGTGTTATTGCAAGAAGCAACATTACAATTTCCCCCACTTTTGACTAGTTATTAAATCTTAGCGTTACTAATCCTACACATTAAAGATCTACGTATTCCTGTAAAAGGGATTTTTTGTATCATATTTTAATAAGCATGAATTATTCAAGTTCAAACGAATTTGGCTACTCTGTTTAATTTTCTGCAGATTTTTTATTTGCCTGAATATAAATCAGTAAAACACACTGTCGCTCTTTACGAAACGTGTATAAAAATCGATTTCTGCAAATGAAAGCTACAATAACAGTTCAAAGTTGCTGTGTCTTACTAATTAAATAACTACATGTCAAATTAATGTATCATGTCTAAGAAAATGAAAAAGAAGTTTTTAAAAATATAAAAAAATAAATTTTAATCAGCACTTTTTTTCTCAACAGAAAATGGAGTATCTACAGGAAGGGAACCACAATCTTTTATCACAACTTCCTCTTTTGGCTTATCGCCAGCTGCTGTTGGATTTCTCTCTATTTTTCTAACTACATCCTGAAAAAGACCAGAATATTATGATTAAAATCTTTGAATTTCCCATATAAAACAAAAATCATATTTCCCATATCAAGCAAAAATAACAAAAATCTTAAAATTTCCCCATATAAAACAAAAAAAACAAAACAAAAAAAAACCAAAACAAAAAAAACAACAACAAAACAAACAAAAAATTAAATTGCATCCGGATAAAAATCCTACCATGCCCTCCAGAACTTTTCCAAATACAACATGTCTGCCATCCAACCATTCAGTTTTCTTGACTGTGATGAAGAACTGAGATCCATTTGTATCCTTGCCAGCGTTGGCCATGGAAAGCCAGCCTGCGCCATAGTGCTTCAGCTTAAAATTCTCATCGGCAAACTTTTCTCCATAAATACTTCTCCCTAAAATAACACACAATCATGTTAACATGCAGTGTTTTCCCTTTATTTCAAAGTAAAGTGTTATATATCAATTATAATAGGCTATGGGTGAGGTTTATGAAAAAAAATCTTTGTAGACATTACAACAATTTAATATTTTAAATTTTTTTTTATATCTTAGTGGCAATTTTATGAATTGAAGTGGTCAATTTGGCCACTGGCCCTTTCTTAGGAAAAACACTGTGCATGTATGACAATATAAACTACACATTCAAGACAGTATCTTTACGTGTTTAATTTCAGAGAGTCAAGAAAAAAGATGTAGGGAACATTTAGCATATTAATTTTGATTTTTTTTTTTACATTTTCTAGGAATAGACACAAATCTTCCTAGCTTAAAAAGAAAGAGCAAGTTAAAATAAATAAGATTCTGACTGCTTAAAAATATTTTGGTAACAACAGTTCTATCAATTCAGCAAAATCTTGGGTTTGCTCTGAAAATACTGCTAGAAAAGATATTTATGTACATATCTTCCATTTCTTGAAAATGTCAGAAAAAGTGCTACATGTACTAACATACTAAAATATTTAACAATATTTTAAACTTCACAATACACTTTGGAAACTGCACTGAGAGCATTCATGTGTTTTTTTTTTTTCATCATTCTCTGAAAAAGTGACTACGGTAGTGAAACATGGAAATTATAGATAGAACATTCTATTGTTAAAATGACATTGTACTACAATCCCAGTTTAAAGATAGAATTCACTTCATGTGCTGGCAATGTAAAATGTAATATGTATTATTATTTTAGGTATAAGGCATAAACACATTCAAGAAGCTTTGATATGAATATTTCAGTGGTTATTTCCTTTCCGTATTCTCCAAATACGTTCTATTTCCATTAGTGAACTCTTCAAAATTAGAGGCGCGTTTGGTCGTCTGACAGGGACAGCATGGCGTTGCGGATAATACAAAACATGCCAATCCTAATCCAATTTTTAATGTTAAAGGTATTTGTCATTCCAATTAAAGAATAGAGGAACTCAAAGACATATGTAAGAGAGCGAGAAACCTAAATTTATCATCCATTAATAAAAAATACGACATTTCCGAAGCATGTGTATTGTATTTAGATGTACCATACGATAAATAGATAAATACGATCAACAGTAGATATAAATTGATATCGTTGTCATTCCTACTCTTGATGTATATAAAGTCCACAACAATAAAATATTTCATTTGCATTTTCTTAGGATTTGTTCATCAACATTCAACATATTGTTTACATGTTTACGTTACGTTTGTCCCTGAAATCCCGCGAGATTTGTACATTTTCCGACTTTTTCACAAAAGAGCGCACTAAGAAGTATAACTCTTCCATAGTGGAAATATAACGTATTCAGGCCACATTGCAACTATGTAGGACATATTCTAACTGTGGAGAAGGCTTGTCCTGCTACACAGACTATTCTAAGAACATGGAAGTTAGAGAACCAAAACTTTGAGTATGATAACTCCATACCCCCAGTTCCATCTCCTCTGGTGAAGTCACCTCCCTGAATCATGAAGTCTGGGATCACACGATGGAACTTGCTACCTTTATATGTAAGCTTTTTGCCATCCCTCTCCTACAAAAGTACATATTTATATTTCCATACTCTCAAGAAATAGTTCTTTATTATTATATGTAAGGATTTTACAAGAATATCAACTTTCACATAATATGACAAAGTTATTTACCTCTGTTCCTTCAGCAATAGTTTTAAAGTTTTTCACAGTTTTTGGGACGGTTTTACCAAACAACCCTATCACTATTCTCCCTACATCCTTCCCTCCTATTGTGATGTCAAAGAACACCTACAAGACAATAATGCACACATTTAAAATAAAAAAAAACAACAAAAAGGAGATGCGTAAGTCAAGAAGCAGAGAGGCCTAAAAACTCCTGGCTAGCATAAAAGTTGAAATCTGTACTTAGCAGTCTAGACGAACTCCAAAAACGATGTGAACTCCGAAAACGAAGTCTTTGGCTCCATCATGCATTGCGGCAAAATGGCGTCCGATGAAAACAAACGATGGATTGTTATTCGCTTTCTTCAAATATACGCCTGCATAATGACTGTATTTAGTGCATTGTGACTTTATTTTAATTTTTGTTGAATGGATAATTACATTTATTAAATTATTTTGTGGATATTGACTTATTTATCGCTTCAGACTCTTGCATATTAGTAAATTGGATATATGACATCGAATTCAATACTGCCGGTAAGAATTATTTTCATATTTGATTTATTGTCTCCTTGATTTAAATTTTATGTCGTTCTTACAATAAAGATGCTTTTATTTGTTTTTGAAGACACTCGGCTTGTATATTTTAAAATTCAGAAATGCGTATTTTTCACCACGGAACAGAGATATTCACAGGTTCATTTTTAGAAGACATGTTGTGACCTTAATTTCTAGAAGAGTGGTTTTTAAACTTTTCATATTGATAGATAAGGCCAAAGTTTTTATTTTTTTTGGTTTACGATTTTCTGTCTCAAAAAAATGCATTGGGTGGTCGAAAAATAAAAATAAAAATAATTTTGGATTCAACAATTTCATTATAAAATAACAGCAATGTTTATTTTAATATAAATAATACACGTCAATAGTACTTTTAAGTTTATTGTCTAGATCACATAACTCTTTTTATTTAATTTTAATTCATTTCTAACTTTAGACTGAATGTCATTTTTCATTTACATATAGTTCTGATTTTTGTTTGTCAATCAGTGCTTGGTTCATGATGTTCAACATTTTGTGCTCTTCAGTGATATGTGATGTGTTATAAACCTTGGTATTCCCACAAACTAGAAATAAGGATCCAAATTCAAGTTAAATTTAGATTGAAGAAAAATACAATTGAAGTGTTTAACAATATTAAAAGTAATTGACGTTGAAATAAAGGTTATAATAATTTGATCATGCAGCTATCAAATTTAATGTTCAACCTGCGGCAAAAAAGCCTAATAATTTCTCAATCAAGTCCCTCTTTAAATGTTTGTTATGTACCTGTACAGTAGGCAATGCTCATTATTTATTAGTAATTCAAAGGACTTTAATCTCAATTGAGTATGAAATTTGCAAATATTTGTATATTGAATTTACTTCTATAAAGTAACAAATGTTTTATACACATTTGAATTTATCCAGTGAAATACCAGTCAACGTTGCTTCAACTATTAAGATGTATCTCTCAACACTAAACTGGCCTAACTATTATCCATGGATTTATCAGCCTATTTTGGGAAACACCATTTTTGGGGAATTGGGAAAAAATTATCGGCTGTTTGATGAAATTGCAATTATTTTTTAAAATGTTGCTTAAATCATGTACTCAGGGGTAATTCATTTAACATTTCAGCACGAACTCTAATTTGGGGAACCAAATGACAATTAAATATGATCCATCTTATTCGTACAAAATCAATTATGAATAATAGACTAATAAAAGTAAAATGGACTTCAATGAGTATAAAGCATTTATACAACTTGGGTAGTACATGTACATGTGTGTATGAGATTTCAATTTAGATCATTATAGTATCTGTTTCTGGAGATTATAAACCTCCTGCAAAAAATTATACTAAGTACGCATTTTCTAAAAGTCCTCTTTTAATATGTATTAATGCATTGAAAATATATTTTTCTAACTGAAATAATGCCTAAAGTCCTTACCATTAACTCGCAGATCAAATGAGTAGGTGGAAATAACTTACTAAATCTATATAATTACACAATATCATCATTTTTAGAAAAACAGAGGAAATTCGGATTAAAAGTTGGCGATGTTTTTACAGTGTTTTTAAACATGTGTTATGACTGTAGCTTTGCTAAATGAGTTAAAATTACAGACAATCTGACAATTTTACTTAGTGTTTTCCCAAGATAATTAAAAATAAAAGCATTGTTCACCAATTGAGAAAAAATACTGCCAAATTGGGAAAAACTGAACTCATTTTCAATTGGGAATGGGCCGAACTTCGGCCCCTGAGAAGGCACTGATAAATCCTTATTATCTATAGGTGTATCCGTGTCTGCTAGGTCGATCAGGGTTGGGCATACACTCTCCAATATTACGGTATGAATTTAGCCAATTGAGACATTGCAATTGGAGAAAGGGATCATTTATCCAAGATTTTATTCACTTTTCCATGCAGAAAAAGTTCTTTAAGTGTGTGTCATTGCTTTCAGTGAGGAATTACCTTGTTACATGACAGAGCCGCCATTTTTGGTTAGCACATGTGTTTATTTACGGTCACCTAAATGTTTGTAAAGGTCTCATATATTTGTAAGCGCTTATTTGACTAAGATGCATTCTAAAATTTAAAACCCACCAGTTCAGCTGAGAAAAATCCGGAAAAATATGTCGGAAAAAGACATTATTTTTATTTTCATGATTTGTGAAAATTAGGGTCGGCGGAATCGTAAACCAAGTGAAAAAAAAACTTTGGCCTAATAGTTTTAAAAAAGTTTTCATAATAATTTATGTTCGTATGTGATAAAAAATCGGTATATAATGATGGTAAGTACTTACGCGTTTAATTTATATGTCGTACACAAGTAAAACACCGGAATGCTAATTTATGTGTAAAATTCAGTCCAGTTTTGAACAATTACAATATATATTGTCCCATTTTGCTTATATATCCCTTTTATTATGCATATTTACTTCTCAAACGTATCATTTTCTCTGTAATTGGTCTGACTTCAAACCTGAATTTTGGAAGCAAATATCTCCTTTTTTGCAACTAAAATCAAAAATCTGACAAATACGATCTCTTCCGAAGTCTTTTATTTAGCATTTCTGAGTACTGGCATAATTGCCATACTTTCCAAAACTTTGCACAGACAGTTTTTTGTGGACCCACCATTTTTGCTGAAAAATCGCCATTTTTTGTGTGTGTGCGCATGCGCGGACTCTATTTTCCGAGTCTTTTTTAGTCTCAATTTCTTACTTCCGGAAACGCTGTTTTTGGAGTTCGTCTAGACTGCTTAGTGCATGTGTTAATACAATTAAATTGTACAGTCACCCTTGACTTTTTTCTCTCCTCGTCGAGCTTGGTAGAAAGGTGTAACGAAATTTTATGCATACATGTAGTATTCTTTCAATAATGTGCAATAAATTGCATTATGGCTATATTAGCCCACCGTACAGTACTAATTGTATGAATTACACAAATTCTTAACAAAAGTACAAAAGTTTATACCATATAAACTATAAAAACAGTCTTATACCCGTATATATGAAATGAAACCTGCATTAGTCAGCATTAGTTAGTGTAATAAGTGTGCAGGTTACACGTGTTGTTACTGTATCAGTGGTTATACTTACTTTGTCGGTGACTTTGGGCCCCTTGGGCTTGTCATCACCTAAAAGACCTGGGACTATCAGAAATAAGGCTAGAGCACTGAGAACGAGCATTATGACTACTACTTTCCTGCGCCAAAGCAGAGATGCAACTTTTCTCAGTGTAAAACCTATGGCTTTGCTTGACTGACTACGCCGGTGTTGTTTGTCTAAACCGGAAGATCGGGTTCTGAGTTGTTGCAATGTGATTGGTTGTTATTGACTCATACGGAAAGCCAGTAGTGACTTCATGCTAGTACTGGTTAAACTGGGGAGGTTCTGGGGGAGGAGGGTTAAGACCCCCCTGAAATTTTCAGAGTTATTAAATTTCTACATAAAAGTAACGAAAAAATGACCCTGGCCCCCTAGGAAACACGGACTCCACTTGAAACAGTAAAAGAGAGTCATTCATGGGGGAAAAGTTGACATATATATGTTGGAAAGTTTTCTCTCCCCCAACAGGTTTTCCAGGTTTGTGCAGGTTGTGTACGTTTTTTTTAGTTTTGTTTTTTTGTTTGTTTGTTTGTTTTTTTTAAATTGTTTTTGCTTTTGTTTGTTTGTTTTTTGCTTGTCAAAAATTAATTTCCGAGTCTTACACGTAGACCCCCTTGGAAAAATACTGGATCCGCCACTGTTTTCCTATAACTATAATTTATTTGCAATATCAAAGGAGGGCGGGTGTATCTGTTCGCCTTTGAAAATTCTATGATTCGGGATACATGAAACATACTACTTGCAAGAATTATTTTCCACAGAACAATATTATATTATATACTTATATACTTATTGTTCCAAGATAAGCATATATATAAAACAAAACAAGCATTCTGAGAGTATTGCATTAGCAATACTTGTCCCCTACCGGCAAGTGTAATCTGGTTCCCGTTGAGAATTGAAAATGCCATAATTCCGTCAAAAATCAATGAAGCGGGACGAAATGCAAACTTGATCTACAACTAATCAAGGTAAAGTCACATACCAAAAATCAACTCAGTATCTGAAAGCGTTTAGAAGAAAATTGCGGAAAACCCCTAAAAATTGAAAAGGTCGTAATTCCGTCAAAAATAAATGAAGCAGAACGAAATGCAAACTTGATCTGTAACTCATCAAGATACACTCACATACCAAAAATCAGCTCAATATCTGCAAGCGTTTAGGCAGAAAGTGCGGAAAACCAAGTGGGACAGACGGACAGACAGACGGACGGACAGACTCAGAGGAAACCTATAGTCCCCTCCGGTTTCACCGGTAGGGGACTAATAATGGTGACATTCTACTAGCACATTTAGATTTGGCATCATTCGCCGGGGTCAATTTTGAAGGTTCGTTGGGACATTATTCCATGAGCGAAAGTATGATTATTAATATATATATATATATATATATATATATATATATATATATATATATATATATATATATATATATATATATATATACCTTACACGTGTATTCGTTGAGATTGTATCCGAATTCAGCTAAAACGGAACTTTCCATAAATACTTATTCAACGTATTTGTGTCATATTATAAATTTCGAATTTATCGAGTGGCAGTAAATACAAATATACAATATAAGAGTCATATTGTAAATTTTGTATTTACTGCCACTCATAAATTTATTGGCGAAACATGTAGATTCTCTAGTTGATATGCTATTTAATTGCTTTTCACTTGTATTAATTGTATTATTTTTCTTCTAATTTGCATGACAAATTATAACATATACATGTAAGGAGAGGAACTTTGTAAGTTGTATAGAATTTGTTTCCAATCCTTTTGATGTAAATAAACTCAATAAAATATGTTCAAAACTAAACTTCCACTCGGTAGATTCAAACTTTACAATTGATATAAGACATTTGCATAGCACTGCTAATATTTGAGAACAGATAAACCGGTTAATTAAAATAGCTTCTGTATTAAAATATAAGATCTCTATTTTTATTCAACATTACATCTGCCTGCTCTTTCTCTGATATTCGAAATTTATACGATTTGAATTTTTTTAAAATACAAATATTTTGTTGTAATATAGGGACATTACTCTGTCATTTTTAATCAAAACAAGCAAGCATTCATTTCAGTTGGGTTATCTAACTTCTTTTGCAAGCTGTTAATGTGTGAATATATATACACGTACGACGTGCATGTATATTTTAGTGATAAAACGAGACAACTGGAAATACTTTCATTATTAAAATAGATATTTTCTCGTTCGGGTCCGTCTTGTTGTAAACTTTTGAACATTTTCAGCTTCTTCTCTTGATCGGCTGAACCATTTTAAACTAATTCTGATACATGTAAAACATATATGGGTAATTAATTAAAATTGTGAATTCTATATCTCCCCCCCCCCCACCCCACCCCCCCACTCCTCCTGGACCTAAAACAACAAAATCAAGGAAATCAAAAAAGAAAAATCTTAATAATGCACATCTTGGATTGATTGATTGTAGTTTTACGTCCTTTGTAAGATTATGTCACTCATATATAGATGAGACGTCTTGGAGGCCAAATTTTGCATGATTATAATGAATAATTATCCTTTATTAAAGTAAAAAAAATAAACAAGTATAGCTTTTTTTTCAAAAAGCTTAGCCGTCTTTAGCAACCCTAAACTGTAAACTGACATACACCTATCAGGCCGTATTGTTTTTAAGTACTGTACATTTACATGTAGTTCCTGGCTTTGTACTTCTTCAACAACTTTTTACAGACATTAACCCTGCCATATAAACGAAGAGAGAGAGAGAGAGAAAAAAAAGAATAACATGCATTTCAATGTTTGCATGCAGAAAACTTAATAATAGTTGCTATAAAAAAATCAAACTGTCAGTTTCATTTACTGTAATTTTATTTTGTTCGTTTTGTCGATTTATTTAAGATTGAAAATCTTTAAAAATTGTTAAGTCTTACGAAAATTAGATCATCAGGAAATTATCTCCCTTGCCTATAATACAGGATTTCAACCAATAAAGTTATTGAAAATTTTCACATCATGCATTTTCTACCAATCACAGAAGAGAGGAAGTACATAGCCAAAGGACTGTAAAATACTTCAACTCTGTATACCGCCTTCCAAGGAAGGAAGACGGTAATCATGTTGCTTGGATCCATGGTTCAGGCCTCAGGGTGGAGCTAGTTTAATCGTATATTATAAATGCTTTTTATCTTTGAAAATCTTTACTCCTTGAAAACTAGGCAGATATTTCATTGTATTATACAGAGTTAGAAGTTAGAGCTCGAGAAGTTAGCCATAATCTATGCAATTCTTGCCCCCTGAACTCAGGATTTATGCTCGAAGGTGGTGTAAAGTTGGTTATGTATAGGGAAAAAAACATCATATTTTCAAAAATTCTTTAGCGGACAAATTATTTTCATGATTGCATCATGTTGCTTATCCCTCAACCAAAATTGATAAGCCCTTGCTCCTGGGTTAAATATTCCAGCCTCAAGGTGAGATATACACTGTAGCTGGTCATATACTATAGATAAACAATTTTTTTGCTACATTTGAACATCAAACAGGCAGTTATTTGCATAATTGTAAAGAACAGGTCACGCCGTCACCAAAATTCAGAGATCAGAATTAAGGATGGGTAAGATTTTTAGCACATTAAATTCAATGAGAATGCTAAAAAATCACCTTTAAAATTATTTACAATTGGAAAGGCAAACTATTTGCATCATTATAATGGGCGGTAAGTATGATACTGAAATTGATGTCGAACAAACTGCTTATTGAAAATGAAAAGAACTCGGGTGTCACGGTGGGACTTAGTTGATCATACACTGAAAATGTGCTTTATATATATTTTTAAACATCTTTAATTATGAGCATGTTGCAGAAAAATGCTCTTTGATATAAAAAACGAGACGTCTTTTACCAACACTGTAAAATTTAAGTCACAAAAGACTTTAGTGTTCCAGTCCAAGCTGGGGCTAAGATGGTCATATGGTCATATGATTACCAAAGAAATCGCCAAGACTTATGGGTTTCTTCAAAGTTAGGACCAGTTTAGACATTATATAAACTTGATAAGCATGAAGTACATTTTGATTAAAATGTTATCTCCATTATGATGGAAATAAGCCTTTTGTTTGTATTTTACGGTAGTTTTTAATGTGGTAAGTAAGGATTTAATAATGATTATATATATATATATATATATATATATATATATATATATATATATATATATATATATATATATATATATATATATATATATATATATATATATATATAGATAGATAGATAGATAGATATAGATATAGATATATTGGGGGGGGGGGCAAATTGACATAAAATTTTACAAATTTGAGGGCCATTCACATTATGTTTCACTGATGTTAACCAAAATTCCTGAAAATACTTGTGAAAAATTTTAAATATTGAATAAAATCGAAATTTTGAATTCCTTAAATTAAAATCTCCTCTTCACTAGAGTGAGGGTAATAAAATTTATTACAAGTAATCTATTACAAATAAGATGTGTATACTCGGTAATTTATTGCATTTTTATAACACAGGTGTTTAAATCGTTATGGGAAAGCAAATTTTATAAGGAAAGTTGATAATCAACGATCTGAAAATGAGCTGTAATAAATTCTAGAACTTGGCAGACAAGATACTGAGAATTTATGTAATAGTTTTATCTTTTCCAGACGCATGAACTTAGGTATTTTGATTTTATCAATCACGGTGTGAAATTCTGATAAACCCTGTTTCCAGGTTTATATCATGCAAGATAAGTTATGATAACCGAGCTTCTATGAATTAAGACCCCTTTGTTTGATTCTTCTGTGCATTAAACCCCTTTGTTTGATATTCCTGTATGCATTGCTAAACTTAACATTTTACGAGTTATTGTATTTACTTCGCCAAAAAGTACTACGGTTAATGATGGCTATTTCTTTGAAGGGAAGATTCCATTAGCATTGAAGTGGCGAAGAGCTCCAAATTGTCCGTTGCTTTAAAATGTAGGTTAATAATTTGCAGAAGATGTTGAACCCTGGTAGACTGATGACTCTGCCCATGAAAATAGGGCATTTTAATAACGGTGATATATCTTGCAATTTCCATCATATCGCTACATCTGTATTTCCAAGTACGATTGCATATAATACAAACATGGATGGAATGAAAACAAATTAAATATAGAAGTATATTGGGAAAAAAGATGAAAAATAA